AAAAAGCCACACAAAAGATATGAAAAGGTCACAATGGGGAATGCATCTCATTATTATTGCTTATTTGAATAGTAATTAATGATTCATTATACGATGATTCACCTTAAACCGCAATATTGGAGGACACATTAGCATCGTTATTCGAGGTTTTACTGTATAGTAGATGAGTCTGTGTGTGTGTTTATTTAGTGATTAGTATGTATCAGAAAATATTCCTTGCCAATACATCTATAACTCCAGTGATTCTCACACAGGTAACACACAGCAGCCTGGTCCAGCTCTGATAACTTGACCTTCTCGGCATTAGCTGAATCTACTATTCGGTTGGATTTATTTTAATCTCTTGTGACAAGCTAAAGAATATCAATAAAATTTAAACTTAATATAAGTGAAATATGGTCATCATCATCAATGTTTTACAGCCATTTTCCACACTTGTGTGGGTCAAAAGTAGATTTATCAGGAAATGGAGATGTGTAATTGTGGATGCAGTAGAATAAATACTTTTGGAAGAAATAAAATACCTGTACAGCCTCTACACATGAAGAAAAAATCAATCATAACTCATTGTTTGTGAAGAAGCTTTAGGAAATTTAAATTTTCCTATAATTGGGGAATTGTAGTCCATGAATCTGTTGACAGTCTACACCACTGAGGCCATAAAACTCATCCAGACATGCTCTCTTTTCTTATAATACCCATTTATTTAGGGGGGACCATTATATTGGAGGAAAATTTCACTCTCTCCACCCCCCTCCCTTCCCCCCCTAAAAGTATCTGGGGCTACCACTGGCGATGTGTGCAGGGAGTGAAGTACTAATTAATCACTGATCAAAACAGATAAGATAGTAAGTAGATAAGCTATGATTAGATTAAAGTTCAATGTTTACAAGATAACACCTAGTGTCTTTAACTCTCTCTCATCACCAAATAATTGTTTTGTTTTTTATCTTTGTAAACTTCATTAAATAATATGATAAAGTTCATGCTGATATAGGAATTTTTTGTGTTGTAATTTTTTTTTTATAAACTTCTTATGCATGGTGTACAGTACCGTATGTTTAATCTCAAACTTTTATATCAAATTTCTTTTAAGAGTTTGGAGACTTTAATTTCAATAAATTTAATTTGATGGACTATAATTAATATACAGTACTCACCTGAAAGTGATATCAGAAATTATTGGAATAACCTTCAATAGTAACGGCCTGACTGAAAGTTGGAAAGCAATTAAATTTTGTTTAAAAGTTCACAGGTATACTGTACAGTACTACATAGTTCCTGTCATTTATTTGGAAAGTGTATATAAAGTTCTTATAAAGAGCATTCTATACTGTAACTCAATACTTATGAGAAACATGGCTATCACTAATAGCATAAACTATCTGAAAGAAGTTATCAAAAACTTATAATACTCTTATAACTTTGGGTGTATTTGTCTGACTTATGTGTACAATGTACAGTACCTCTGATTAAGTTGCATTTATGGGTTGCTTTTATATGGGTGAGCTGTAAGGAAGTTGTACTGTATGTAGTTCACAATTCACTGGAACTTCTACAGTATAAACAAAACCCACAAACTTTTGGATATCACTATACTGTACAGTAATTGATTTTATATAGACTACCAAGGTATTTCTCTACAGCACTGTCAATTTTACCAGTTTTGCACCCTGATGCAATAATTTCTTGGTACAATAACAGCAATTACCTCTTCCAAAACAGAAGCAGTGAGAGAAGAGAGGTTTTTCATTTACATATCCTCCTGCTGTAGTGAATCTTGAGAACCCAGTCATTGGCTGAATTACAGGACCCTGCAGTGCTGATATCTGATGTTTTTTTTCTGAAAAGAAAAGGTGTTTTTGAAAGATATATTTCCAATGCAATACTTCACATAAATTCATTAACATTTTACTTCTGAAATAAGTTTTATTTTGTGTTTTCATTGACTCATATGTATAAACAAGACTCATGATGTTCTTCCTGCATCAACTTCAATAATATTTGAATTCAGAAAAAATCCATTTCTAATGTTAAAGAATAAAAGACTGGTAAAACATATCAGTGGTACAATGCAGGAAGGAAAGGGAATGACCAAAAAGGAGCAATGTGTGTAATGACAGAAAAACTGTGAATACGGTATTCATGAAATTCAAACAAGTACTTTGTTGGAAAACTTTTATTTTTTTCCACTCTCTTAAGCCATTTGCCTTTATGATGTAGGGTGATCATAATTAAGAGCATACATACAGTACACTTTCCCGCCATTTGTTGTTATTCAAATTTTAAATAATAAGCCTGACATGTCACTGTTGCTTCACACAACCTAGCATTAACCCATCCCCCAAAAACACTTGGTGCCAATTTCAGGTCATTTACAAACACTGCTGCTCCTTGGACGACCATCCCCTCACAGCTAATGCTTCCCCCTCCTTCCGTCATATTCTCTCCTAATCAAGATAGTCTTTACCAATCTTCCATGCTCTTAATATGCCTACTATCTCCATCAGGAAGGACATCCCCATCAACCTCCTCCTCGCCGCTGCAACTACAGACATACGGCATTGTACACCCACTAAAAGGTTTGTTCCTTAATACTGTCAATGCCTATGTGCCTCCCTCCACCCCCACCATGCCTATCCTACCACAGCACAGCACAGTCCTCATCCATCACCCTCTCCTCCTACAGACAGGCCTGGCACTTGACTTAATAGGGACTTGCCATAAACAGATGTATTTTATCAAGAATTCTCCCCACACACACACACTCATCTTGTCACTATATGTAACTTGCCAACATAATCCATGGCCTTCAGGCACTTACGTCCTTAAATGCACGAGTCAAGAAGGTAAGCATGAACTCTGCATGCTTCCCAGTTGGGTGCTGTAAATGCTTTTGTGCTTTGCCTTGCACAGGATGTAATGGGGTGCCCAATAATGTAGCCCCCCTCATAGGGCAAATCTGAAAATCTTTGTCCATTCCACTGAAGCAAACCTTGACTGCTTTTATATCTCTTTCTTTGCATTCCGTTATCTTGGTTCTCTCATACAGTTCCAGGGGTCTATACAACTAAACTATTCCACTATAATACATATCAATACATGTATATCAAATGGAAAAGAATAAAAGACTGGTAAAACATATCTGAGGTAGAAGGTAGGAAGGAAAGGGAATGACCTAAAAGGAGCAATGCGTGTACAGTGCACCCTTGCCATTCACTGTTCATTACCTACAATGATAATACCATAATAAAGTTGGACACAAAAACAATTATAGTACAGTAGTTCTATATTACATAAATGGCTCCTTCCCTTCTCATATCATACTCTGGGTGACACCATTACACAAATATATAAATGAATACGTAAACAACACTAGACAGGTAGACATGGGGGTTTGTTGGCTGGTCAGCTGTCTGCCTATGTAAACAAACTCAATAACTCATATAGGGTTATTTTTTTTTTTTTTAGGAAGTTAAATATTTTATGATAATGATTTTTTAACCTGGCACCAAATGAAACTAATCAATACGGGAATGTTGGCATACTTACATACTGTTGTTATAAAGGGGTTGGGTACAGCCCGCCCAGCCACCCACCCTACTCCATCACACACACAATTCCCTTTCCATTTCAATACTTTATTAATGTTTTCTGAAATACCATATATAGCAGAGGTAGATCCAGAAATATCAATAGTGGGGGTCCAAGAAGTTGTGGGTGGAGGAACATGGCGAGCGCAGCGAGCCCGCCCAGTTGGGGTTTTTTGGGGGGGCGGCGCTGTAAGCCCCCTCCAGAAATTTTTTTTTAAATCTGACCAATATCATGGGCATTTTGAGGCCATGCGCACTTGATATTAGGAGATATTCTGAGGTCAATAGTAATAACTTTTTACTATTCAAAAATGCCTGAGTACAATATTGTATTAAAGAAAAAATATTGGAATTTTCTGTTGAAAAGGGAGGGGGGAATCCGGACCCCAAGGACAACCCCCCCCCCCGGGTCTGCCCTTTATGGTTGTGTTTATGGGTGACTTGAGTATCTCAAACATCCAATACTGTACTATGGCTGCTAATACTATTCGCGGGGGTCCGTGGAACCTAACCCCCGCGAATAGCAAGGGTCAAGTGCAACGGGAGAGAAAAAAAGAAAAAAAAAGAAAAAAAACCTGCCTTAAGTGATAGTTGGGGATCGGGATGCTATTGATGGGCGATACTCATCAGTGTAAAACAATAGGTCTACACCAGACAGACATTTGGGGTCTTCTTGTGGAGGAGGGGTGTCATAGCACAGGACACATCTATTACAGTAATAAGAATGAAAGAATGCAAATGAAGAGTGAGTGTGATGGCTTTCAATTACAGCCACCCTGCATAATAGTGAATAAAGGCTTGAATGAGCAAAAAAGGTGATATTAATGATTTGTGGGTTGACTTTAGGAAAGGCATCCAGTTGCCGTCAGGCAAATGGATTACCAGTGCTGTGCCCATCCTCAAGTCTCTGCTGCATTTTCTGGGCTGGCACCCTGGGTTGGCAGTGGTGAGCTGGGGCATTCCATTCTAGTATTAATCAACAGCTGCCATCAGATAATTGCAGCTAACCTATGGCAAGAATAAAAAATGGCCATAAAATGTTGATAAAATAAAAATAAATTTGCATGTGAAAAGAATAGAAGGGCCCTAAAATATTTTTCAGGTACAGGTACATAAATGTAGGTCCAACTAGAATCATTGTATTCTATATACAAGTACCCTGTATACAGTAATTCATTCATGTAACCTCATAAATCTCCCAATTCAGCATATTTTGCACGGTCATGTGATTTTCAAATCAATCAAATTTAGTATCAATAAGAAATGAAAATTAGAAAAGCATCAAGAGCAAATGGATGAAATTAGGGATTTATGAGGCAGGCAACCATTGTTGTTTACATCATAATGATACAAGTCAAATACTGTACATACAAGACATACAGTATTACGGTAATAGAAACAAAAAAATTGCATGAAAATTAAATTTATTTTGCTCTTCATTATAAAGGCTAAATAAATATGCATGATTTTATCTTAAATTGAAAGAAAAAAAAATACTAAAAAAATAATTTTTCTTGTTTAGTTATAGTTCTTCTTTCCAAAGGAGTTTGAACCTTTAAAGAACATCACACATGTGATGATTAATTTAACATCTTGTACACAAAACGTACATAAAACATGAATAGATAATAGCTTCACAGGATAATGATTATTTTACAACAGGTTAAAATAAAAAAAATTCCAAACATCTCCACAAACTCATTCTGAAGAAAGAAAATGGTAAAGGCAAAACCATCAATACAAAATGTTAGACAATATCACACTTGACATAAATACTTAAATATTGTACAGTTTTTCACATAAAATTAGATTTCATATTGATAAAAAACTGACTACTGTACTAGGAATAACAGCTTTATACGTGTATAAAAAAAAAAAAAAAAAAAGTTCACCTTGAAACACAACACCCTGTCTAATAAATCTTTCCATTTTGCACATGCACATTATTTATCATTTTTGGAGGTCTAACCGCTCATGCGAATCAATACAGAAAGCACAATGAATTAACTGGTGCCTCATTTCCAAAATCACCACAAGGTATTTCCATTAACATCCAAAACCCCCAACTCATTTATATATCTCCCTTATATACAAAAGTATATACAAGCAGTCTGCTAGAAGCCTCATCCATGTCAGTAAATGATTTCATAGCTACAAATAACACCAAAACGACCTTTTCTATGTCAATACACATAGTAGTAACACGGGTTCTTATAGTCTAGGTAAGGATTTGTGTACCCGTATCTACAGGGCACTATAAACTCAATAAATTCATCCAGTTATAAACAACCAAGGTGTTGAAATACATAAAGCAATGAGGATAATTCTGAAATACTGTTTATATATTGTCATTTGGGAAATACTTTACCAGACAATCAAGCAAATGATATGACAGTAGTTCTCATAATCACATAAAATAAATTAGTCCACGTTAGGTATAAATAATAAAAGAAGAAGGTATTTGTGTGGACAGAATGTAACTAAGCAAAACATATAACTAAGTGTAAAGAGCAGGTAATTGAATGACGTCCATTCTACACTTGGCTATTTTTGTTATCCCTATGGGTAGAAATTCCTTATAATCATAATGTCCTGCAGGATTTCAGTGGAGTGTATGTTTACAAAGCTGACAAATCGCGCAGGATTGTGAGAGTGAACCGACAAATGAACAGTGCAAAGAAGGTTAGCAATCAATAAACATTTACGCAGAGTGCATGTCTTGATTCACCTTCTTTCAACCATTACAAATTGAAGAGAGGATCAGTGGCTTTATTTAAGTTTCTTGTCAAGCATTGCATGTCTGTTAATGCTACTACTTAAGAATATAAGCATAGATAAAGAAACAGACAGATAGAAATGCTAACGGATACAATATTCATAAAACAATGAATTCATATTTTCTGATTAATGAAACACATCTGACTTTAATTTTGTTGAAATCTCAAAAATATTCTTCTAATTGATGTATATTTTCCATTCACTGCAATTCTAAATGGTAGTGCAAGAAACTCCAGTTAAAATGAAAATATATAAAAGATGAGAGGTAGAATAATAGAAAATTTTCCCCTTGACTCAAAAGATGGTTACTTTTCATATCCTTGAGACCATCCAAATACTGTACACATTCATCATCATACAATATTTCCTCGTCAATTTTTAAATTCAAATCCTGTAATATACAAGCTAATCACCCTATAAAAGGGCAAGTCAAATATATATATGTTAGAGGACAAAACTATTATAATTATCACAATTGTGAATGCCCTTGTTACTTCATCTTGCAAAGATAGCGAAGCTGCAACATCTTCACATCTGCATGGTCAAGTTTTACTACACCTTCATTGTGATCTATTGAAAGAAGATTGCCTGTCTGCTCACGTTCCTCCCCAAAGATCACCTGAAAATATTGCACCAGTTAAAGTATGGGACAGTTTAAATTTATCAGTGCTCTCAGCGATCAACCTAAAATTAAATTTTCAGCAAATTTTTCATATCCATCAACCTTGTAATAGCCAAAATATTTTAAGTACTCCAGAGTGTTAAGTACAGCTACTCCTCGACTTATGACCACCCGGACATACAACCGCCCCAGTCGTACCAAATTTTTTTCAAATTACCTATTTTCGAGACCCGACATTAGTGATTGCGCTGTGTACTGACAAAATTTTTGTTTGTAATTCCATTTAAAATGGCTGGCAAGCTTAAAAATGAGAGTTTTGTGGTGCTGAGAAGAAAAAGAGACACCCATTTTAGATTTTCTATGTATTATTTTCGCATTTTCGACTTACAACCAATTTGACTTACAACCTGGAATTGGGTCCCTAACCCCGTAGTAAGTCGGGGAGAGACTGTACTGAACATTAATATCTGGTGGGATTACATTTAACAAAAATAATAATTAATACAAAGTATTAACATCTTATCTTTTTGACACAAATGTGCAAGAGGGGGATACTTATAAGTAAACATTATACAGTATATAAGCTTAGTGGTGTGGCTTTACATATACAGTACAGTACTGTATGCACAACTGACAAACATAAACAGTCGGGTTACCAAATACTGTATCAAACTAAATGTACCATACAGTCTGTACCAGCCTAAGATACATTGCCTGACACTGATTTTATAATGGTACCAATTGTTTGATGTTACGTATGGTGCATATGTTTGATAATACGAGTACGCACTTAAAACACACGATGGACCTGCCCATTGCCATATGGTAGCAGATGCTCTTTGCTTGTTGCACTTCCTTTGTTTTTGTTTTGTTTTGGTATAGTGAAAGCTGGATGTGTTTACAGTATGTATACAGTACAGGGTATTTTGTATTGTGACCAAATATTTAGTTATACCTCACAGAAAATGAGCAAAACAAAAAAAGAAAGCAAAATAGATGCTATTGCATCTGGTGGTATTAAGAAGATAAGGCATGCTACAGTATTTCTTTTGATGAGAAAATTTTAATAATTCCCTTAAAAATTCACTGATTTAGTTAATTACAATTTTATTCAGATCAGAGGGGAGCCCGTACACAAGAGGTTAATGTTATTAATTGGGGTTACCTTCTTAAGGGTTATTTTTCATGAAAATTTTCTCACTAAAATAATAATCTACTTCACTAGTAACACTTGAAATGAAATAGGGAGGATGGTAATCACTAGTGAAGTACAGTACAGTAATCTAGTACAGGCACAAACAAAATTTTGGTACTGTATATGCAAATCTTGTGATTGTGAAGCTGGTATAAATGAGGGCAATTTGTTGCAGTACTGTACACCTGGTACAGTATTCTCAAGGCTAGCTCTGGACACTCAAGCCATATTTATGGAAAAAATGGAGAAATTAAGTGGAAATTAAAGATACGCAAATGAGAACTATGGGTTGCATTGTAATGTAATCATAAGTGATCTTACGGTTATGAAGCCACTGAATACAAGTATGTAGGCATCAACTGTTATGAAAATACTGCATGTAATTTTCAAAATTAGATAGTCACCTTAAACAATTTTGGTTATTATAGGAAAAATATATTGTATACCTATTGAAACTAATCACCAATTCTGAAGGATCTAGGGACCACACAAGAGTATTTTCATGAGTAAGTGACATTCACAATTAAACATTACCTTGGCACCATTATGTAGGATATTCAAACAAAACATGAACAACCAATCCATCAATGGTCCCACCATTGAGCAGGGTGGCACACAAAATAAACAGATAAACTGATGGGGATGATGGCTTTACTGTTCTTGCAGACTATATTATTTAAAAAAAAAAAAAAAAATAAATAAATAAATAAAAAATTAATCTTGCCATGAAAACTGACCTTAACACGATCTCCCTGTGCTGGTGTGACAGGTTCCAAATGTTCACCGAGGATGTTAACAACACGCTCCTCTTCTGGCAGGTACACAGAGCACATGCCAGCCTGTAAAAGAAAACTTTGTGATAGCCAGTCAACAGAATAATATTGCTTATTTTTTTCCATCTTTTTCTTTGTTTTGAGAACATAACTGAAAAGCAATATGAAAGAAAGGGCTACATAATGACTTAAGAATGTTTGTAAATCAATGTACAATGGAGCCTATCTACATGGACGAGTGATAACATGACAAATCTGATGACTTAGTGAATTGTAATAAGGTGTTGTGAATCAATGTGAATATTTTAGTTTATATTTGTATATTGAGTAAGCAAGTTGAGGATATGGACAAGTGTGTGGATATTTCTATTTGTTGTTCTAAATCCTTTTCTGTTTGTTTCTGGACTTGTCTTACACCACTACCCCCCATTACTTCTCCTTCTCTAAGGTTTTTCTACACCTTGATACCCCTACAAAAGAGTAAAAGAATATAATAAATAAATATTATAATCAAAATGATAAATAGCTTATACTATTAAACCTAAAAGGAAAACAAATGAAGCTGGGCGATATATGAACCTTCCTTAGCATCTGGCAATGACCTTACTGTCAACATTAATATTTTGACAATACAGTAAACCCTCAATACCTCGGCATTTGATAACTGGAATTTCATATAACTCGGCATGGATATGGTTTCGGAATGTATTTTAGTATACCTTGGGAAATGCCGAGATATATAAAAATTAAATTTTATTGGTATAACTCCTAAACAGAGCAATATATCAGCTCCAATTCTTTGTGAGCATTATTGAAGTGCTCTTTCAATGAAAAGTTTGGGAGAAGATACAGAGACAATTACCATGAATGGACATGCAGGGAATTATGGGGATAACTTGGTGACTATATCCCTTTAGTGTTTAAGATGGGGGAAATAAAATAAGTAAACAGAGACTGGACTTCTTACCGATACTCCCCGGATGATGCCCGTCTGCCCTATGAGACCCGAGTCATCGTTAGTCTCCTTGATTCTTACTTCAATGTCTGCCGTCTGCCAATCCTGCATTCCTAATGAGTCCATACCTGATGGGAAGAATATGAAATATAGCCAATCTATAAGTATATTTACATCTTATTTTTTGTCAGTTGAATATCTAAGGAAGATGATTTATATATATACGTATATAAAAAACAATTCTTTACTAAGTTTATGAAATTCTTGTACAATATACAGTACTGTACTTCACTTCAAGAGTAAATTTACACAGCGTAACATTTCAAATAAATTACCTTAAAATTATGAAGTTGTCCCTCAAAGAAACTGCACAGTACAAAAATGCATAACAAATATGAAAGTTATCAAACCAATACTACAAAAATTATTGGGTAGACATGACAAAACATTCTATGGTAAATATGGGTGAACATTTTTCATAATTCAGTACTGTACAGTATTGTATTACACAAAGTTACTTGAGGATATCATCTGGGATAGGGCAACTTAAAACTATGATAAGGCAAATGACATGGAAATTAACAATACAGGAAACCCCACTATATCACAGCCAATGTATTAAATAATGTCTTTTTGTACTGGGTTGGGATGTTCAAATTATCTCAGTCAGTATCAAGCTAGTGCAGCAACTCGCCAAACTATGTATGTTCCATCTAGAATTTTACCCATATAATAATATAAATACATTAGAATCTCTTTAATTCACCAATTGATAAACCCTGCTAAAAATTTAAAATAGCATGTCATACTTTCCAATAGCACTGGAGGAAAAAAATGGTACATCTATTAGAAGAAAGGATAATGCGGCAATGATCTTCTTGATGACAACTGTAAACAATAAGAGGTTTGTGGATAATTTCCTTTCCTTAAGCTGTGTTACCAACCAACTATTACTTTCAATGAGAAAATTAAAAGAATTCCAAGAATTGCTCTTCTACCTCCAAGCAATAAGCTCTCTTCTCACCTGTAACTACTCAAGTCCAGAATGCAAGTGGATATGATAATTTAACCTTTAAACTGCAGCCCAGGTAAAATTGGGTACTGCCTAAGCACAATAAATATTTTTTTTTAACATTCCAAAAATAGTATATTTTCTTATAGAACTGCAGACAAATAAGCAGAAAAAAGTCTTAATTTATATTACAACTTGTCTGCTGGATGTTTTTCTCCATGCACAATTTCATTATATTAACAAGCAATAATGACTCAAGTGTTGCCGAGTGAAGTTTAGGTGTTGGCAGTCCGAGTGACCGATATTTGGGTGTTAGTAAATGGCAGTGTTACTACGAGGTACAGTAGTTAGTGAGTTGTGTTTATTTATTAATTACTCTACTTATATACCTTTCAGATATTATACTTGTAACAATAACCTCTTACTTTCCTAACTTACTAAGAAACAACTAGAGTACAAATGCTTCTGGATGGAAACAGGGTGTTTACCAGTGGTCTGCCTTAAAACAAGTGTGGGAATGCAGGACGTATTTAAATGTCTGGATGGGAGATCCTTGCGAAGGAGGGCATAAGAACTTTCGCTTATTTACACGATTGGCTGATAGTGGGAAACTCTTTCGAAGACTGTCAAAGGGCGACCCAATGTACACTACCGGTACTGTAGTACTATTTCAAAACGTAGGATTACAGATAAACCAGGTCAAATCAAATCTCCTACCATGTCAGAGATTGGATTGGTTAGGTCTCCATTGGGACACCAATCAGCAGTTGGTCAGTCTACCAGAAGCAAAGGTAACAGATGTGATAAACCAAGTAGAAGCCTTTTGTGTAAAGCAAAAGGTTTCTTGGCACGATTGGAAAAAACTACTGGGTCTGTTGAATTTTGCCACCATAGTAGTTCTTTTGGGCATGTTAAGGAAGAAGCAACTGCCTGGTAACTCATCTGGGTGCTTCACAGAAACAGAAATATTGCTTCTTCTCTCCCTACTCAGATCAAGAATCATCTGTCATGGTAGACAAATTTGGACAATCTATCGGTTCATCTCCCTGGGTTCCCCCTTAAACAGACTTGATCGTTTGTACGGACGCGTCCCAGATAGGATGGGGAGACCATTCATCAAAAGGAGAGTTCCGTCAAGGGAAGTGGAGCAACTCCCTTTGGGACAAACACATAAACATAAAAGAATTAGCAGTGGTCCTATTCTTTTTGTTGGCAAACCCAAATTTAAAAAATATGACAATTCTGTTTGCCATGGACAACAGAGCGGCAGTGTTGTCTCAATCATCAAGGCTCAACCTGATCTTGGCCCCTTCTCACACAGTCAGAATTTTTTTTTCAAAGTTTGTGTAACACAAATACTTTACCTCAAAGCAACTCACATACCAGGAGTACAAAACAGTTGGGCAGATGCGTTATCCCGTCTCAGGCCAGTATCGACGGAAACAGAATGGTCCCTAAAGATATCAGAGTTCAAGAGTCTAGTGAGGAGGTTTGGGACTCCACAAATAGATCTCTTTGCCTCACAAAACAATCACAAGATGCCAACTTAGGCATTGCTGGAACGATCGAATCTTTTAGGAAATGCTCTACTCATAGATTGGAACCGTTGGAATTCAATCTATCTGTTCCCACCTGTGAAAATGTTACCCAAAGTGGTTCATAAACTCAGATCCTTCCAAGGCAAGGTCCTCTTAATTGCACCATATTGGATCCTACAACTGTGGTGTCTGGATCTGTTAGAATGGTGCCCACATCCACTACAATTGCAACAAGCATATCTAGACCAGGTACTGCACCCTCAGTTCGAGATATCCTTGGCACTTCACGCTTGGAGTTTCTCAAAAGATGTTTAAATAGATTGTTGAGGAATTCCAATATAGTTAACCAAGTGATAGCAGGTCATAGGCCCCAAACTTCTATGCAATATGAGAAAGCTTGGAAACTTTTTCAACAATTTATCAGGTTAACGACCCCAATCACATTGTCGGAAACAGTGGTGTTAGAATTTTTAGATCTTCTGTTCAGAGTTAAAGGCCTTCAAGGATTTACAATTGCATCTTATAAATCAGCATTGGTTGACCCTCTGGCGTGGGGTTTTAATATTACTTTGAACTCAAGAATTTATCAGATGCTCAGATTGTCCTTTTTCATTCAAAGACCCCCTAGGCCTCAGAGAATCCCACCTTGGTCTCTAGATAAAGTTACTACATTTCTTATGGGGCCTAATTACAATATAGATCTTAACCGGGACAGATTGCTCCAGAAGGCAGCCTTCCTTCTCGCAATAGCAATAGGTATGAGAATCAGTGAACTGATTTCAATTTCCAATACAGTAGAAAGTCGATATAACACGAGATACGTTCCGAGAGAGGTCAATTGAAACCGAATTCGCACTAAATTGAAGTGTTGTTTCAATGGAATAATTTAGTTTGGTACTTAAGAGAAACACAAAATACTAAAAAGACTGACAGTCTACCCAGATGCACCTCAGCCCATCTCCTAGAATAAACAAAATGTTGTTTTTTGTAGTATTATGTTAAAACAAACACTCATAAATCAACACAACTAAAATTATGGGACATGAAATGGTCTGTTTACTAGTGATCAGCTGATGGGAAAAAGGGGGGGGGTGAGGTGATATGCTTGACAGTTGATGCCAAGGTCTAGTGCTTATTTATTTATCTGTCCTTAAGAGTGACTAAGTTTTTTCTCTTATAAAATGTCACTAAACTGACCTGGGAGAATATAATTAACATCGCTGGAATTCTTTTAAGATAGTGATTAGTTTGAATATAAACATGCTATAGTTTGCATTGGACATACTAATTTTAGTTCTAATTAATTTTATTACAAAGAGCTAAAATTTTTATCTCATGCAAAATATATGACGTTTATATTCAAATTATTCGCTGTCTTGACAAGGATTCTAGCAATGCAAATTATATTCTCCCAACTTTAGTCTGGGATATAAGATAAAACTTAAAGCCTACTGTATAACCACCACACCCTGGCTGGGAGGGGGGAAGAAGGTGACAGTGACATGTTTGACAGTTGGGGTTGAAGGTCTAGTGAAGTATTTATTTGTTTATTTATGTCTTTTAGATCGAGTTTTGGTTTTTTGTTTATAAAATGTCACAGAAGTAACCAGGCAGAATATAATTTACATTGCTGGAATTCTTATAAGATAGTGATTAATTTGAATATAATCATGCTATAGTTTGCACTAGACAAAAATTTTAGTAATCATTTAGTACATTATTTTGAGTACATGTACAGTACAGCTTTGCCCTTAGGTCAGTGTAGCGTGCCCAGAGAAACATTAGGCACAAATTTTTAAATATGATGCACCAGATTGACTCGTGCAAAATATGAAAGATTCTCTTTAAATTAAAACATTGTCCTAAATTGTGAGTGTCACTTTATATCAACAATCTTAAATTGAATAGCTTTAAATTGACGTTCTACTATAATCTATCATTATTGGTATTTTCTGAGGAAGATGTCATCCTTTTTCCTACGGAGAATCTAAGAAAAAAGTGAAAGGGAGGATTTTCAAGCTCAACTTATCAGGATAAAACGGCTGATGGATGAGACAAGGGTTCCTCATATATTGTGCCCAGTTAAGAATCTTCAAGAATGGTTATTTACATTCCCTAATCGAGGCCCCTATGTATTCTCATCACAGGATGGTAAGAAATTGTTTCCTAGTCAAATGACAAAATGTTTATCTCAGTTAGTGAGTGAAGCAGACCCTGGCAAGAAATTTTTGGCACATGACACCAGGATATATGCAGGGTCTGTGGCCTTTCTGCAGCATATGAGCCTCAGTCAGATCAAAGAAGTGGACTTTAGGAAATCTTCAAAAACCTTTCAAAACAGCCATCTTCATCTATCTCTGAAAGATGCTTCACATGTGGTGGTACTGGGGTCCCCTCCCCCACCTAGTCAATCTCCACAACCAGGACCTTCTTCTTCCTCATCAGAATAAAGTGAGTATCCTAATTGGAATATGTAAATTAACATTTTACCTTCCGGTAAATGTTCCTAATATTGTAAAAGATTCCAATAAGTTTATAATTATAATCTGGACCTAAGCTTGCAGAGCCTTATACGCAATGTCACCTCCCTCTCCACCTCCTGCTCGGGTAATCAAAGCTAGACGTCGCATTCTGGATTGATCAAAAAGCAGTTTTTTTTCCCAAAACCAATTTTTGTGATATAGTCCAGAATGCGACGTCGACATCCCACCCATCTCCACCCCTCGAGAGTTGACATTTGTCTACTGCTCGCTCTAGGGCAAGAGATGACGGTAGCAATGCGTGTGATGGAGGGTGCGGGAGGGGGTTTTGAAAATTGCAATTAAATGCCAGGTAGAGATGTGTCCTCCTAATATTACTTATTAAGTAATTATTAAATGTTTTAATTGCCTGTATGTTGGCCTGGCAAGTTAATGCTAGACATTAACATACCTAGGTATAAAGCTAGATGTCGTATTCTGGACTTTATCACAAAAACTGTTTTTTAGAAGAAAGAAAAACAGCTTTTTCTAGATTAAGTCAGTGACATTTTATAAGGAAACAATATTTAACCCTACAGTATGCACCACCATAGGTAACGCACCTCTCGTTACACTTTTCAGCAGCGGTAATAACTACCCATGTGCTGCCACACAGCCAACCCGCGAGCATGGCTCTTTGTTGATCACATCTCCCCGCCATCACATAGCTCCACAATTATCGTTCAGCATCGTTGGCTGTATGTACATTGTACTTATTATCGGTGCTTTTTTCCCCTTCTTATAGTGAGAAGACAGCACTAAAATTTAGATTGACCTGTATTATGGTGACTGTGAAGTGATATTTCTTTTTTGTGTAACTGTAAAGTACTCCGCCTATGTTTTCGTGAACACGTGATCTGTGTTGGTAGATATCATTGTGCTTACGTTGTCATTGGTGTTTTTCTTACAGTTCAGTGCTTTTGCTCTGATGACCAGGGTTGTTGTTTTGAGTGTTGTTTAATTGTTTTCTATTGATTTTATAAGTGTAGGAATTTTTTGGTCGGTGATACATGTGTGTTTGGGGACTGGCTGGGAATGTACCTCATTGAACCCCATGTTATAATGCTCACTATCTATGATATTTCAATTAGCGATGGGGTTTTCAAGAACCTAACGGCATCGTTTATCGAGGCTTACCTGCATCATATAATGTGCACCTAACATTTTGGGTTCATTATCCTAAAGTTCACTGCATCAATATTATTAAGTCACTCTTTAGTTTGCAAAATTGATATACGTATTCACCAGTCAGTCAGTCCCAATGGTATGTTAACTATGGAGGTCCTATTGTATACTCCACTGAATTTTAGTTTGAAGCTAATAAGAAAAAATACAGTACAGTGATATCTCCGTTAGCAGGAATAATTAGTGCAGTGCACATCCGGGAAGGAGAGATTTCCGGGTAATGAGACAACTCTCTCAAAGCTGGAAAAAATCACTCATCCCCGGAATTTGGAGAAATTTTCCGGGTAACAGAAAAATTTTCTCGGAAGTTCCAGAAATTGCACATTCCACTATCTCTCAGACCTAGAAAAGTATCCCACATCCCCGGAATTTTTGGAAAATGCACCCAATTTTCATCTCTCAAACCCCCCCAAAACTCCCCCATTCTTGGAATTTTCCAGGTTTCAGGATAATTTTCTCTGAATTTTCTGGAAAATGTACCCCTCAGAAAATCGTTGCCAAAGCCGGAATTTTCCGGTAAATTCCAGCTTTGGGAAAGATTTTCCGAGAAAATTTCAATTCCGGCTATTGGAGAGTTCAGGGTTTGAGGGATTCCGGCTAACAGAGATATTACTATAAATAAAATAAATTGTCTCCTAGTAAGGGTACAATAATTTATGTATACAGTATACCTTGCATGGAGTTATGTTATGAAACTCCTTCCTCAAATCACACAAGGTATGAACATTATATGTACACAATAAAAGTATCACACCAAATGACCTTGTAAAATGGCTAAAATTCTGAAATAAATCCATCCAATAGGTTAGCTTAAAATATTCTTTCTAGACAATCTGTTCACCTATTTTATTAAGTACAAAACACCAGAACTCACCTGCACCTGGTGTCTGAGGATTATAGGGAGATGGTGCTCCTGGTGTCATGGGGCTGTACGATGCAAGAGGTGAAGGTGATGCATACCCAGAGCCAGGTGATGGTGTACCTTGATAGCCTGTACCAGGGCTTGGTGTTCCCACATATGCAGCAGGGCTACCACCAGCTGTGGATAATCACAGACAAGATGTGAACCCCTGCATAACTTTCATATAAAAATTACCAGCTCTTTTATCTATGACTAAGTTTACTGCTAGTTGTAATCTTTGAGTCTTATCAATATCTACAGAACACAACCAGAAAAACAAAGTTCAATTTTGTTTTACTCTTTCGTCAACTAGAATTTTTTAAATTAATAAATTGACTGATTAGGAAAAATGAGATATTTTATTCATAAGATTAAGGATGAGGAGATAATGAGAGATTTATCAAGTGGGTAAAACTGAGCATCGTAGGGCCAAGGTACAGCAGAGACTGGGAAGGATGAATGAGATTAAAAGCTGGATCCCTAGGAATACAAAAATTGGAAGAAGTGGTAATGACAGCCTGTTAATATATTGGCCATGGTATCCAACCCTTAGATATGAAAATGGTATCTTGATTAAGTTTCAACTTTGACATTTCCCTCAATTCATTACTACCTCCCAACACAGCTCCTGTTCTACCTTATTAGTATTTATCATCAGTACAGTGAGTTCTGCTATAACGCGTGTTTTGATAACGCGAATTTGCTCTAACGCGATTTATGAATTAGGAACGATATTTGTATAACGCGAACGCTTGTTTGCTATAACGCATTTTTGCTTACTATAATTTTGTGGTACAGCTATAACGAATCTAATTGGTTAGAACTTGGAAGCATTCGTTCGTTATAGGATTAATCCGTTCCAGGCCCCCAAATACAACCACTATTTTTATAAAATATCATCCTACGAACAATAGTGTAGAGTTTCGTTCGTTAATTCTCACAGTAAGTATCTCATAGCATTGTATTAACGTGAATATAGTAAAGAAGAATATCAACAAGATTCTGGTGATAGAATTCCTGGTGATGATTAAAAGAAAGGATATAACACCTCGTTTTTGTAAATGTTACGTGAGCACCTACCTAATACTAAATTTTTTCGAAACCAAGTGTTATTTCTATTATATAACACGATTTTTACAAGGCGTTATAGTAACTGTGTTTGGGGATGATAATGGGCTTCCCAAATAGCAGCAGGTTAGCTGGAAGTTTTATCTATTATTTTTATATATCATCCTACGAACAATAGTGTAGAGTAATTACAGTAAGATCTCATATTTCGCACGATTTCATTTCCCGTTTTTGAAATTCGTGAGCACCACCTAATGTAACCAAGTCTAATATTTGGTGTAAATTATCATGAGTTTCGCGAGATCCAGCCAGCTGAATGCTGGCCACCGTCTTGAATGATGTCACAGCCCCTCATACCAGTTACACTCATTTCTGCTACATGTGTTTTGTCAACACGAATTGGTTGTAACGCGATTGATGAATAGGGGAATGCCGTTTGTAAAATGCAAACTTTTGCATATGAATGTTGGCTATAGTGTAATTCCATCGTCAACGTTTCAAGTGGCGCGGGGTTACGCAGTGTTTACAGTTCACATTCGACATCACATGTTCAATTGATTCGTGTCTTTTGTTTGTGAAGTGTTTTTTGAGAGGCACTCTGTAAATTTCTTTCTTTTTTTGCAAATTTAGCTGTTACACATAAATACTGTATGAAAAGAATAAGTAAAAAGAATGTTTCGCAGTGCAGACTAATAACGGTTTACACCGGCGCTCTCTGTTTACATCACGTGATCAGTTGAATCGCGCGGTTTCTGTCGAGTACTCTGTACTCTGTGATTTTCGCTGTTTTCTCCAATTTTGTTGTGTTAGTGATGAATATGGAAAGACAAGTTAAGAAGAATGTTTCCAAGAAGCATTCTGGTGATTGAATTGCCGGTGGTGAAAGTAAGAGGTTTACAAGAACGCAACTATCGCGTTGTAGCCCGCGCCATCCTAGCTACCGTACGGGCTGCTATTGTTTTTTTTTGGGTGGTGCTACCACCTGTCGATTCAAGATAATGGCCTCTACCTCTACTGGGGGTCCTACTGGTGCTGGTGGGGGTGGGACAGACCCACCTAAGCGTCCAAAAAAGGAAAAGGAGAAGCGGGACTATCATAAGGGCCACGGGATGTATAAGACGACTCCCAAAATTTCCATTTAAATGTAGGTTTTGAGCTATACTCGCTGTATAAGACTACCGCAAATCTGACACTTACCATGCTCGTACCATCCTTTCGGTTACACCACATTCTCTTGCAGCAGCACAATTGTTGTGACTTGGCATATGCTACCACTTTCAGCTTAAAACAAGCTTCATATCTCCTTTGTTTAGCATTTGGAGCCATGATGGGGTTTTATGGTAGCTGGATATTAATATAATGTTCTCCCAGAGAGAGTGCTACTGCTTATGAAGGAGTGGCAACTTGAGCCTTTCCAAGAAACTGTCTTTAAATACCGTACCGGTATTTAAAGACGGCTGTTTGTTTACTTTGGCGGCAGTTGCAAATGGCAGGCAGTGCGTGATAATACCTGCATTTATTATGTTGTTATTTTATGGTATTTACAGTATGTCAGACAAATTTATAATACATTTTGATTATTTTAATATACACACTAAACCACAGGATGTAGAGATTCAAATTTTATACCCGGCGTTTAAGACGACACCTAATTTTGGGCTGATTTTTTTAAGGTTCAAATTCCATCTTATATGCCGACGTATACGGTACTCGATGCAGGATAAGCAGCGTGTGATTAAGTTACTTGAGGAAGGCCTAAAAACTAGTGAGATATGAAAGATTACTGGTTTTCCAGAAAGCACAATCAGGTCAATAAAGGCAGAATTTGTATCACTTGGAGGTTATAAATGGGAAAATCAGAGGTTGATGTAGAGTGGCCAGTCTATTTTGTTATTTTTCCTATTAGTTTATGTATATGCATTTGGCGCAATTTTTCCAGTCTATATTACTCGCAAAATACAAGATCTTATTGTACTGTACTAAACTTAAGAGATATGACCATTAACATTCTATGAGGCCCTTAATTGTACTGATCCTTTCTGATTGAAGCATCATAAGCCTAAACTATAAACTTACGCTGGTAACCTGAGGGTGATGGCTCAGGCTGATAGGGGCTGTAGTTGTGATCTGAGCTGTACACTGTGCCAGGGGTCTGTGGGGTATATGGACCCTGCCCAGCATCTGACTGATAACCTGGCGTCCCTGTAAATAGCAATGAATGAAAACTTATTGGTTAACTTTTATCATATTTGGGCACTGCAACAAGTATAATGCAAGGCAATTAACAAGATTAGAAACACAAGCAACCTCCCAATAATGTGACTTTTGCTCCAAATTAGGTTGAATGGTCCAAAATCACTCACATGATAACTTGTGTCTCTCTTTCGCTCAAGAATACCGAAGCCGGTGTTTAAGTATGAAAGTAAAGCCCAGTCACCACATACAGCAACAATGTATCAATTTAAATAAAAAGCTTTATTCTGAAAATTTTTGCAACTCTCTCTGCTGAAATATTTTACAGTTAGCGTAAATCCAGGGGGCTAATGGAGGGTACACACCTTTTGCCTCCTATGCTTTGAAGATGCCTCTAAAGGCAATGCCTACCACTGCTAACTTTCCACCTCCTACCCTGCCCAAAACTTACTCAATGCAAACTTCCTGCCCTTCCCATTACAGCCACAACTGCCCTACAGATAACCCTTCACTGTACTTCCCATCACCCCTCTTTGCCACACATACTGCCCTGGTCATCACCCGCCTTTTGCCACACATACAGCCCTGGTCATCACCCCCCCTTTGCCACACATACTGCCCTGGTCATCACCCGCCTTTTGCCACACATACAGCCCTGGTCATCACCCCCCTTTGCCACACATACTGCCCTGGTCATCACCCGCCTTTTGCCACACATACAGCCCTGGTCATCACCCCCCTTTGCCATACATACTGCCCTGGTCATCACCCCCCCTTTGCCATACATACTGCCCTGGTCATCATCCCCCTCACCACACATCCTATCTAGCAAAGAGAGTAAGAGCTATTATTCACTTGATCTACCACATACAGTAGAAATGGGGGAAATCTAGATATGATATTATAATAATAATAATAATAATAATAAAAATAAATATCTCTAGGAAACGATTGTAACTGATAAAATGTTACTTCTCAGTAACTGTCCTACACACATAACACCTGCATTTACTATTGTCCTACACACATAACACCTGCATTTACTATTAAACAGTACAGTGCAATTACAAACACATTTAAACTGCTTATATAAACTAGGCTTTTGTTATTTTACCTGGATTGTAAGCGGGTGAAGGCGATGCTTCATCAAAGGGATAGTCATCGAACTCAGACTGTCGTGCTGGGGTATTGGTGATAGTAGGATCCCACGCTGATTGTCTAAAGGTGATGAGGAATAAGAGGAATTATTTGAAATGTCTAATACAGTAATCGTAATTATTTCCAGCATTTATTTCCTTTTACATTAAAGTTATGACTTTTGACTTATGGTGGTCTAGCTTCTTGCATGATATCTAACATCAGTAAGCAGGACATCTATCCATCCTCTGGTTACAGCTTACTGGCCCCTCTAAGAGCATTAATCTTTAGTCAAACTATGCATTAACTGGGAATGAAGTCACTGTCTCACACACACAGTGAGATAAGACAAATACAGTACACTATATCGCACCCACATCCACTTCTCATTTTAAATGGACAGCAGAGAATTGGTCTGGGTTTTATTAGCCAGCAGGTTCATGGTCTTACTACTGTACAGGCTATAATGAGATCTGGCATGTATTACTTAAATTACCAACCCTCCCACCACATACATTACTGTATTAGGTTACAGTGTGAAAATAAATTGTATTCAACAGTTTTAAATTGGAGCTGACTAGATATGACAATCAATATTTACAATGGGAGTGTACTTTGAATGTCCTAGTAATAAAACTGATAGACATGTATTAAGAACTGATGAACAAAAGAACGAAGGTAACTGCAGTGGGCCAATTGGCACATACTAGGCAGTCCATTTATACCCAACCCTTATATCTCGTATACCGGTATCTGCCCTACCTATATTTGAAGCTTCCCAGTGTGATCTAAAAAAATTCCAAAGTGCACTTGCTTAATTTCAGAGATATGGCGATTCATTCAAGACGTGAATGTAAAAAGCTTTAATATAAGAATATAAAAAAATCACTAATAAACTGACCTGCCCGGAGTAGCAGACCCATCATGGGACGGGGTCATGCTCCCGTAGTGTGGTGTACGTGAACCATCGTACTGTGGTGTCTGAGAACCATACATGGGTGTGCGAGAGCCTGTGTTGCCATACATAGGGGTAGCAGAGCCCCATGTTGGAGTCCGTGTGTAAGAGGTGAATGAGCCAGCCTTGGCACTGGTGGATCCCACAACTGCCACACGAGACCGATCCACAATAATGGTTTGGCACTTGGAGTGAAGTTCAACACGGACAGTAGAATCTGTGGCATCCTTTACAATACCAACATGACCTGGATAAAAAACATTCATATAAATCATTTGTCTGCCAGAGTGAAAGTATTTGAATTTCCTTGTCACATTCAGCAAAAGCTAAAGATGTAAATCACAATAATTTCATTAGTTACTTTTTTCTGATAAAAGGTGCTGTATTACCTATCATTTCTATTATTTTCTAAATAAGCTTAAAGCTTATTTACTTATACACAAGTAAAATTAAGAAAAACTTAAAGAATGTTAGAGTTGTAGTACAGTACAGCTCCTCCCCGACTTACGACCACCCACACTAACGACCTGCCTCAGTCGTACCAAAATTTTGTCAAATTACATATTTTCGAGTCCCAGCGTCAGTACACAGACAAAATTTCCGTTTGTAATTCACTTTAAAATGGCTGGCAAGCTTAAAATTGAAAGTTTTGTGGTGCTGAGAAGAAAAAGAGACACCCATTTTAGATTTTCTATGTATTATTTAAGCATTTTCGACTTACGACCAATTCGACTTACGACCTGGATTTGGGTCCCTAACCCCGTCGTAGTCTGTATTCATAAATATGCACTAGAGTCAAGAAACTTAAAAACTTCAAAACAGGCTCAAGAAATTAAATCCACGAGTATTGTACAGTACTTAAAATAACTAATAGAAGAAAAGACAAAAGAGTCAACCCTGAGTCCCAACAATATCAAATTGGCAAGTGTTCGTTATGTTTACAGAAACTAATAATACAGCATAACTAAATTGATATATTAGTCTTGTTTACTTCATACAATTATTCACTTCACTGAAGCCTCTTGGTCCTAATCTTTTCAGTTGACAGACACGTTACTGTATTGTACAAGAAAGAAAAAGTCTCAAATCCAAGTTCAGTTCAAAACATAAACTGACTAACCCTTGTATGGTCCTTGGGTAATCTTGATGGTCTGACCAATGACACCACGATCTCTGCCAGCCCCTCTTCCTCTTCCTCGCCCTCTCCCACGATCTCCAAATCCACCACGGTCACCGCCACCACGGTCACCACGCTCACTAGTGCCGCCAGCTGGATGGGCCGGGGAAGTAAGCCGAGGAGACATGAGGCCCATGCCCATAACTATGCCACCCGACCCTAGTCCACCTCCAGCTGACTGTATAAATTTGAAAAGACAATAGAATTAATATATTGTACACCATAAAAAAGTTATGAGTACTGTTTCAACAACATATTTAAAACTTTATTACCTGATTACCAAGGAAATTAAATGGAACTCCTGCAGCATCTTAAATTACATTATAAAATAATCATTCGGAAAATTTGACACATACTATGGCATCTTATTATTAACAGAAGAGAAGTCAATATGATACTTCTTGATGGAACATTTTCAGAAACAAAAAAATGCACAAACCATATAATTGTTTTTTAGAATCATCTATACAAGAGTAAAGAGAAATTCTCAAGAAGAAAAATTCAAGCATCAATAAAGATTGCCGACACAAATAAGACACTACTGTACAGGTACTCCATAATTTTATATACTCATTTATCAATTTGATTAAAATACCAACATTATACTGTGTTGAAATACACTTTTTTTCTCTCCTATGAACTTCATTAATTATTCTGCCATTCTCTCCAACTCCTCCTCAGACTGAGCTAATAGCACAACATTTACTACAAATAATAAACCCACTCTTTATCATCATGCATTTATCTTACTTTCAATCAAGTCACCCATTCTTACTTTCATTTCAAATAATAACCCATCTGTAAATGCTTTTAATAACCCATGTGATGTCACACCCACTCACAATGCACTCCTATAGTTATTTAAAACCACCTACAAACACTACCATTAATTCTCACACATGTGCTACAACCAATACAAAAACTCTGTGAAGAGTCTGAGTAAACTTCCACATTACCCATACAAAGTCAACATTTCCCATAATCTACATAAATTCAATAAGTACTGTGACCAATATGCAGCACAATGTTTCAGCATTTTTTTGTTCTAAATAAAATAGATGAAAAGTAAACAGTTTACAAATTGACATTTTTGTCTCACCTTAGCTCCTCCAGCTTGAACCAAGTGTCTTGTTTTGCAAACAAAAATTCCACCATTTTCAATCATCATCTTGGAGTGTAGGAATGCAAAATTTCGGTACAGATGACGTATTTCACCTTGACGACCCTTAAAAGCAAAATAATTAATTGCAATACAATATTCCCATAGAAAAAAAAAGAAAAAAAAAAGAAAATTAATAAATAAATATATAAAATATATATTTATTTTTTTGTTTATAATAATATTTAAATCCTCATATCCTTAATGAATGTGACAACAGCACAGGTCACCTTTGCTTTCACCTGATTCACAAGCACCAGATCAGCTTGTTCTGTAGGTGGTTTACCTTTTCCCAGTCAAAATGGGCAGACCATACTAAGTGAATGAGTCAAGTACTGTACAGCTAGACCCCGACTTACGACTGCTTCGACTTACAACCGTCGGGACTTACGACCGCCGCAGTTGTGACTTTTTTTTTTTTCAAATGACGCACGCATTTTCTATACCGAAACGTTTCCAGTTAATGTAGTCTCCATGTATAATTAGAAAATTATGGGGGCCCCATGTGCATTCAGCTGACTACATTAAAGGTAAGTGCTCAGTCACACTGTATCCATTCCTTATTATTTATTACTTTTACTGTACTGTATTTCATTGTAGATTTTTTATCTATGTTGGACTTACGACCTGGATTTGGGTCCCTAACCCCGTCGTAAGTCGGGGTCTAGCTGTATATTGGAGTCTTATTTGTGTTCAAGACGGGCAAAGATTTCAATTCAACAATTTGTGTGGCAAACCTCTCAAAAGACGATGATTCGGAGTGTAGAAATTCAGCTTCTGACAAAAATATTTCTTATATTGTATTGTACACCTATATACAGTAGTACTATTCTACTCCTTTATCAAATATTACTATACAGGTATTCTATTCTAGTCATAATTTGTTTTTCAGTTGAATACCATATACTATAGTTAATAACTATTAGGCAATTTTAACAGCAATTGTCTAAGTATAATACACCTACTCCCCGACTTACGACCTACTCGATTTACGACCACCCGGACATTCGACCGCCTCAGTCGTACCAAAATTTTGTCAAATTACGTATTTTTGAACCCCCAACGTCAGTGATTGCGCTGTGTACTGAAAAAATTTTCATTTGTAATTCACTTTAACCCCTTCCCCAACAATTTTTTTGTTTAAAACGTTTCTTTTTCAGACTAATTTTTTTATTTTGGTTCTATATTGTATTTTTGATGCTGGTTATGAAAACAGTTTTTAATTATTTTTTCTTCCCATTTTTGTGGTTAACTTTTTATTTTGAAAATACCTTTGTCGGCAAAAACGAGTCAACTCGTCTTCCTATAAACCATATTTGGACTAGTGTAATAGTTATCCACAGTAACACAATAACCTTTCCCAAATAAGGGCTTCATCAAAGATAAAACAACACGCGAACTCACAGGATATGCATCATACTCTGGATCAAACTGTGTTCCTTTGCCAACATAAATGGTCATTTTGTACACATATCCAGTCTTTGACTCACACAACATGAAATATTTCACTCCAAACCTCCTCCTTTTCAGTGGAATGTACTGTACCCATCCTAACCTTCCTTTGAACAACATAAGGCTCTCATCTATACATACATCTTGCCTAGGGGTGTAACACTTCCCAAAGTTCTCACACAATGTCATGAATACATCATAAATCTTATACAATTTTGGGTTGGGGTGAGTTTGTGCATCATGAGTTTCATTATCTACAAAATGAAGATATTGCTTTATCTTACTGTACCGTTTCATAGTCATTAGCTGCCGAAAAATTGGTCTTTCAAGCAGTTCATCATGTGACCAGTTCATTTCTTCTTCTGGCATTTTCACAATACCCCAAGCATTTTCATGGCAAAAAATACAAAAAGTTCAGCCTCTGTTACAGGGCGCCACAAAGAATCATCTTGCCCAGTTTGTTCAGCAAAACGATTAGTCTCTACCAGTACAGAGTCAATAATCCTTTTATCAATAAAAAGACTGAAGAATTCAAATGGACTCAGTTCTGCTGGGTTTTCATCAATCTTTATTCCAGGATTTCCTGTGAAAGGAAAACGTGGTGGTGGTGTATTCATACGCTCCTCTGACAACTCGAGGCTTCTCCAAGCTCTCCCCTCACCCTCCTCCTCCTCCTCCTCACTTGTCGAGAAATAGTCATTGTCTGATGAACTGGCAGAGTTATCAGAAGTATTCAAGCTTCTGAGGGAAGGTTCATATTCACTATCTTCCGTTGAACTAGACATTTGGGGTGTAACACTTGAAAATGCTACAAAAAAATGAATGCAAATGTGGATGCAAACAACACCCATCCGACGACAATGGCTGTCGGAGCAAGTCTAGTAACAATGTCCTTGAAATCCCACAGCTCTACCCTATCGCCTCTGCCAGGCGTACGATTTGACGAGAATACTCGTTTCACACGTAGAATGGCTTACAAAGGCTTAAAATCGACGAGTATATACGTATGTAGCTGGTTTTTGAAGGTAAAGTTTTAGACGAGTATACTCGTCGACGACTGAAAAAAGAACATTTTGTGAAAACGTGTATACACGTTTCTGCCGGGGAAGAGGTTAAAATGGCTGGCAAGCTTAAACATGAGAGTTTTGTGGTGCTGAGAAGAAAAAGAGACACCTATTTTAGATTTTCTGTGTATTATTTAAGCATTTTCGACTTACGACCTGGATTTGGGTCCCTAACCCCATCGTAAGTCGGGGAGGAGCTGTACTCTAATTATAATTATGCTGAGTAGTATACCTTCATAAATCATTCCCTTCAAAATTACCAAAACGTTTTCTGTCCACCAAGTACTGTGAGAGTGGATTGTCTACACCTCTTCCTCACTGTTTTGTCTGGCCTTTACTTAACACTAAGTAATGTTATGAGAAAATAATATTCAGTAATTTGATAACATCTAAGAAAGTTGTTAACTTTACATGAAAGCTAAAACTATATGTGTGTGTATACTGTATATAGAAAAACGGTGGGGGGGGGGGGATATTCTGACCATAGGCATAACAGAGTGTTGACGCAATTTAGAGGAAATTACATAATGCTGTATAAACTCATTTAAATTCAATTATTAAGGGAATTTTGTTACAACTCAAACATAATGTGTTTTGCCAAAATCATGTTCTTAAAAAGTATCCCATTTACTGATGCTACACAGTAGACTCAAGAATATGTTATTTCAAATTACTCTGGTCCTTTTTTTTCTATTTTCACTTGTTTGCCCCATTTACTTTATAAATATTTATGATAATCTAACATTATCTGGCTAATTACTGTCCTCTAAATATAGTTATGCTGTAAGAAGAGCCATAATATACACTTTAGGAACTGACCACTGTGGCATCATTGGTCAGGTGCCATACACTACTACTGTAGAGTACTGTCTGTAAAGATCTCTTCTCTCTACTGTTTTGTTGTGTATGTTCGCATTTTGTAGTGCTGCATTTAGTAAAGATACATTCAGTAGTTTGATTACAGTACATATGTGGCGTTGATTAATATAAGGGCAAACTTGCCACCCGAGCGAAAATGCGATTTTTGTACCATTCATTTCAAAAAGCTTCATTCTACTATGACACAAGATGGTATGACGAGTTCGTCTTTGGTTTACCGAAATCATATGGTGTAAAACTCCCGGCGTCTCTGTGCTGCCTGTGGTAATTTCTGTGTCTGGCGAGAGTAAAGCAAGGTCAAACACACCAGTGGCCCAGCGACCAATCACAGCCTGCCTTAGTCCCTGAGTTAATCAGCAGGTCGAGAAGGAGCGTGCCAACCAATGAGAAGCCCGCTACATTCTATTTTCGGCGTCCCGGAGGAGGAAGATGTATCTGATGATGACCAGATGGACTACTAGCCACCTACTCCCCCCCCTCTACCAGGTTCTTTAGCAGACCATAGTCATCATCTAGAGTGAGTTACCAATTTCTTTTTTACTTTATTACAATATAAATTTATTTTGTGCTACAGAATTTTATTATTTCATTATTTTCATGAATGTTAAATTTCACACCATTTCATTATTTAACATTAATGTGCACCAAAATCACACATCACATGTCATTTAATACAACTATCATATTCTGCATTAAATAACCTTTAAAATGAGATCTCGTTGAACAGAATTGTTGAATTTTTTAAAGTTCTATGACGTTTTGAATATCTGCAAACTTTAAACATCCTTGTCTCAGAACTTGGTACTGGCACGTTTGCCTTTGAATTAATCAATGCCTCATATATTACATCTTAGACCATAAACAGAGTGGAAAATAAATAAATAAATAAAGGACTTGGGCTGTGGCTAGAAATGTAACCCTCTTTTACTAAAGAACTTGTATTTGTTTATACTGTACCAATTTTGCTAACCTGGCCACTTCTATGAACACAACCCTGGGTGAAAGCAAATATGACCTGTTTAAATGTTAAAATGAATAAATAATTACCGAGTGTGGACCATCGATCACTTTCACCACATCCTTCACTTGGATAGTATTCTGTTCTGCATCAAGGGCCATAGCACGACGGTTTTCCTTCTTCTTGTGAACTGCTTGAGGTTTGACGTGGACCAATTTTCCGTGCATATTCAGGACTTGGAAGTTTTCTTTTTCTAACCTCACAATCACAGCAACAGTCTGAGCACTAAAAAATAAATATCAAGATTGTTATGAGTAATGAGAAACAGCCATCAGTCAGAATCATAATATGACCCAGTCGTCATACACATTGGTACCAGCAGTAGTCTCTTCTCACAATGTACTGCCTGACTCTACACTTATATGAAAGCAAGAGTACATCTTAAATGTGGTTAAAGGAAGTCCTCAGACTTACAACACAATTTGTTCCAGAAATTTCATCATATGTCAAACTGTCATGAGTTGGATTGCATTTTCCCATAAGAACAAGTTATACATAGGCAATTCATTCCTGGTGAGTTATAAATTTAAAAAAATCCTCACCACCTCTCCACTAAGTAATACAGTACATATATACATGTATGACAATGTACCACACCCCAAATACATATTTGACATTCTACTGTATAAATGTACATTGCATGTAATAAAAAATAAGTTAATACAGTGTATGTATTGGCAAATCTTGAAATACAATATCCCGAAAAGAGTATTCCGCTTTAACAATGGTCATAAATTAAGATCATGTTAACAATATCCATCAAATAGCCATTGATATACATTGGTGGGATTTTTTTTATCTCTAGCACAAACTATGTGTTGTATATACAGTACTTGAATTAATCGCTGTCTTCCAAGGATTCCAGCAATGCAAATTATATTTTTTTATGTCAAGTCAGTGACACTTTATAAGGAAACAATATTTAACCCTATGCACCAAGCATCTCTACCTTCACTTGTCAGCCTACCCATGAGCAGCCACACGGCCAACCCGTGCACTACATTCCTGCTCTCGGTTCTTTGTCTATCGTAAACCCACAATTGCATTGCGACACGATGATCAGCCAACATTATACAGTGGGGTATGCTATAACGAATGGATTCTACTACGAATATTCCGATAACGAACGGTTTTACCTATAAAATTGAGAATGATATAACGAACAAAACTCCTACAACGAACATTTTTTTTTTACTAATTTATTGTTTTTTTATTACAAGTATTAATGATATTCTTTATTTCAGGGGTTTAGATGCATATTTATGCACTTTTTTACAATTTTTACAATTTTATATTATATTGTTCACTCTCTTTTTGTGGCAAGTGCTTTTGTTGTTTTTGTGACTGTGAAGTGAGCAGTGTAACTTTGAAAATGTCTGGGAAGGCCAAGGCATCCAAGACAACCGTGTCTCTGGGGCAAAGCTTGACATTGTTAAGCAGCATGAGACTCCCCAGAGGCTGTGTGGGAGTCAGAGTGACATCTCCACTCCACCTACAGGAGTCCCCTTAACCTTGAAGGGGACATGTGATGAAGACCAGACTTGTCCAGTATGATGTGGTGAGTGTTGTTTACTGTTTGGTACTGATGGTAGTACAGTAGACCCTCATTTAACCGACCTATATGGGGGGATTGGTGGGTCGGAAAAGCTGATAATTCGGATAATCGAGGTACTGTACCAAAAATACGTTACTGTGCATAAGATAATTATATGTGAGAGCACAGGTTACAAACACAGCCACTCCTCGACTTACGACCGCCCCAGTCGTAACAAAAAAATTTCCAATTACATATTTTTGAGTCCCGACGTTAGTGATTGCACTGTGTACTGAAAAAATTTTCCTTTGTAATTCCCTTTAAAATGGCTGGCAAGCTTAAAAGTGAGAGTTTTGTGGTGCTGTGAAGAAAAATGACACCCATTTTAGATTTTCTATGTATTATTTTCGACTTACGACCTGGATTTGGGTCCCTAACCCAGTCGTAAGTCGAGGGGAGACTGTATATCTATGTACATATGATTGACTGTGCATGTAACTGAGAAAAAAAAAGAAGATAAGAAAAAGCTACATATATCTACCCAGTAAGGTTAGCCTACCATGAACATGTCACAGGTAGCTATCATTCACCATAAATGACCCATGGAAATGCACATATAGTTTGACCCCCTGCATTTTGCATAAAAATTTATCATAAAATTTTAATTGTACTCGAATATATACAGTATGGTAAATAAAGACAAATATAGAAGCACCAACTACTATAAGTAAGCTCTGGCAGTTGTAAACAGCTGGCCAAGAAACTAAACCAAGGCTGCCAGATACAAATTGTGCCAAACTATTGGACCCTGAACTACTGAGATTCAACCTGTGTCAGTTGAGTAAATGAGGTGATATTGTACAATCAGGCAAGTGGCTGAGTGGTGGATATGAGTCTACTTGTCCTTGGCGAATTTTAGGAGTAGGTTATATGGTGACTAGAAGAATGATGATACATTGAGAGCAAAATTTACTTTTGAGTGAACCAAGTTTTACTCTGTACAAATAATGTTTGTTTATTAGCATATTTTCCTTTATTCTTAGCAAGTAGTTGTTCTGTGTGTCTTTGCAGACACACTACTTGTATCACTTTTCCTCTTTGAAATACAGTATAGGAAAATAATCCCAAATGAACACAATGACAATGATGGTACAGTTTGACTTATTTCAAACTAGACAGGCAGGCAAGGTTCCCCTTGTTTTGAGAATGAGCAGAGGGCGAGCAACTAATTTTCTCTAATACAAGCTCTTCCATACTTATTCACCAAAAATTGTATTATTCATCCAAGATACCCACTAGATAAAACCAATGTCATCTGGGGAAAAAAAAAGAAGCTGACTCGCCTGCCATTTCTTTTTAACAAATAAAAAGTACAGAGAGAGATCAAAGTTTCGCTGTCAAATGTTTTCACTAATACCTTCACTAACAATACTTGAAGCAGGATGATTTGATCTGATATTGGGAATATAACATTGAAAAAACAAACAGTGGAGAAGAGTTCCACAGGGTGCTGATCCAGGTTATGAATGAAATGTGGTAGGCAGAGGTTCTGTATAATGGAATTTGAACTAAAAAGGAATGGGCAATCCAAGATGTTTTTGTTGGCTGATGGCTGGTACTTGACGGTGGCATTATTGAATATTGCTCATCAGAACACCGATTGTGGAAATATCTAATTCTAAACAAGAGGAAAAATGTTGATCTATCCCTATGAATGTTTAATGCTGAACATTTTCTTGTATGGTTACAATTTTTGTGTTTATTTTGTATTTTTTTCCATCAAATCAAGGAGTGAAGTGCCCAACACCAACCCTTCTCACAGATTACATCTACATATAGCTTACAGAAATAGTTAGCACCTGTTCATCAGTAAAGTAAGGCATGGCTCTAAGCATTAGTGAAATATTCAATGCATAAAAATAAAGATTAAGTGCTCTTCAGAAATAGCTAGCATTAAACCCCGTAATGCTAATACTCACTCCAGAGACACCAAGTCTCCCCACTGGAACTGTCCAAGAGAATCCACGCCAGTGGCTACATCAGCACACAGCTGAAGATCACGTGGCAGCACCTAATAACGAAGGAAGAAATATTGTCATGCTATTAGCTTTAGATATGAAGACTGGTTACTCTACAGTGCTGATTTTTTTAAATTTACCATTTTATGAAAAAGTCAGTTACACATTAATTTCATTTTCAAAACATTTAAATTTAAGATTGCAGACACAGCAGATAGGAGGACAAATATAAACACTTTAATGGAAGAGGTATAAACAATATAAATACATCTTAATCTCCTCTTTCATCACTGACAGTACTGTACTATAATAGTGTGATGTTACAAGATAAGAACAGAAACTTAGTTTTATAAAAAATGGTAAAAAAAACTATTTAATAACAGTACCTTAAGTTCGTGCATGGTAAGGTCAGAGAATAGAACGATCATGTTTTCTTCTACTCGGACAATCAGTCCAGTGTCCCCCTCATATCTTCCAGCAATGACTTTCACATGATCTCCTTGGTTGAAATACTTCTTCAGTTCATGAGCTAAGAATTCCAGCTCATCCTTCAAGTCCTCATGCTTTGGTAAGATTGTGATTTTGTTCCCATCCACACGTGTGACAGCACCCATCAAGTTCATCAGTTCACCTTCAATTACTTCCACATGGTCACCTGGTGCAAAGCTGTGGCCTTCATCCTCACGGCCAGATGTAGTGAGCTGTGGATAAGACAAAATTAAGATGATTATCTAACTACTGATATTTATCAAATATTGAATAGTCAGCTTCATATAGTCTGAGTAACCCATTTCCATAGGTATAAGCAAAGCTATATTAATTATCTTTCATTATAATAAATGCAATATAATTAAAAACTACTATATACAGTTTAAGACATGGTCACCTCTCACCTCCATATCTGCCAAGCTCTGTTCTTCAAACTTTTCTAATTCACTCAGTGTTGGCTTTACTCCGTCTGCCATGATTGCCGAGATGGCAAATGTCTTATACAGATAGCCTTTGTGTGTAAAGCGGTTCCCTTCAAATATGAGGAAGTCACCGTCTTGAGTGACTTCTCCTCCAATAGCTCGAATGGCATCGTTGTCAAAAAGTTTCTGTGGTGGCCGACGGAACTTCTTCCTCTTGAGGTCATTCTCAGACTGACTAGACCTATTAAAAGTTAAAACAAAAATTAATTAATGAAAAATACCCACACAGTGTGTTATAGAATGTTGTCATTAATTGACATGATGACTTCATTGCAGAAAAAATTTAATTTTGAAATATTGGAGGTATTTTCCAGTCTCTGGGTACACAAGGTTACAGTAGTTGAGAAAAAATCCTTTAAGGTTTTTTAAAGTCTTCTCCCACTTAATGAATCGTAATTGGAAAAAAAAATTATATTACTTTTTACAGTATATTTTTCAGGGGTTATGTTCCAGGAGAATACCAGGGATATGAAAGCCAAGGAAATGAAAGTATTGAATCATAATAATAGAATTTCCAGCTCAGAATTTCATAAATCAGCCCATTTAATGTAACATTGATAAACCCTATCTCATTATTATAACAATGCCAAAACTTCACACATGTTGCATTTACTTTGTTCTTGTATTTATGCCCTTACAGTATTTTCAAGGTTGTTTGCCTATTTTTGTGGTTATTTTCATTATTAAGGCCTCCACAATTGAAAGTGGAAAAGGCTCTGTAAATGACTGAATGCATAAAAGTCTTGGTAAGTAGAGTATGATATCCCTCTCACACCAATGTCAATCAGTAGTTTCAGCTAAGCCACACCACCTGATTCACCCAAACATGGTATGTGAGGGCTTACCACTGTACACTGACTTTAGCTTAGTTCACTCACAGCTTAAAGAGTTTACAAAAGCCAGTAACATTCTTCCCAATTTGTGAGTTTTATTCTTAGGGCTTACTTTTCTCAAAATTCCATGTACAGGGGGTCCCCGGGTTATGAACGGGTTCCGTTCCTGAGGACGTTCTTAGGTCGGATTTGTACCCAAGTCCTAACACATGCTATGTGCATGCTGTACTTACAGATCAAGATTTAAAATCCCACTATATCATAGCTTTAGTCCCTCTATACATCTAAAATCACTTAATTTAAGGGAAAAGAAGAAACAAAATATAGTAAATGAAAGTAAAAAATAAGTCATCAGGTAAATAAAATACTGTATCAGTGGGAATTCATAAGTTGGACGTTCATAAGTCAGCGACCCCCTACAGTACCATAAACTAAAACATCTGAAATTCTAAAACCTAGAATACCGTAAATGCTCTAATGTAATGGTCAGTGGAACTTCTAATGGACATTAAAAACTGACTAGAATTCATGGTTTTTGGTGAACAGAGAATGACTAATCAATAGCTGGTATGCAGATGACACCAAAATTAATTCAGGATCTGCTGCTATTTTACTTGACGTTTCTATTTCCTATTTGAATTAGTTTGCCTGAGGCAATACTTTAACAAATCATTTAATTAATGGAAATAAAAAATCTTGCAAATTTTTTTTTAGATTTTTCCAGAAAACTAAAAAGCTTCAATGAGCATGTTGGTTTCCGTTTCCCTAAGTTAATGGTAGGAGGTGTCAGGCCTTCATAACTGATGGGGAGGGGGGGGGGGCACTATACTATAATAGTGTCCCATGTAGCTAATGATAATTTGTACCTTTTATTACTGCATTTCTAGTTAAGAATAAAATTTAATAAATTAAATTTCAAGCCTACTAATATTTTAATTTTTCCCAACATCCTTTGAGGGATAAAAATTGTTTGTACTGCATCATGTTGTTTGTTTGTTTTTTCCAATACCTATTATCATAATCTGTGGTGACACAAAGGGCAGCATAGAACTGCATGTAGAAAGTGCCACCATGGAAACTCCACCCACCCACATACACTTTCCTTTCATTCACTATCATTCATTTATTCTTATTGCTGAAATAGTGAAAAACTATTATTTTAAGAAAATAAATGAATAAATGAGTAAAATAAAAGAGAACACCTCACCTAAGAGCTCCTCGCATCCGCGTATAATCAATACGAGGGATAAGCTTGAGGTGCACCGTGTTCTGTGAGGCATCCACATAATCCACCTGTGCAAGATCATCCTTGAAGATACCTGTAAGTGCCCATCATAATTAAGCACCAAAGTACTATACAGCGTGACATCAAGTAATGGCTAAACATAAACTATGGTGTCAAGTCATTTCTGGGCATGGATGCACTAACATATTTAAGTCACTTAAGTCTCTGCTGGCACTTGTAACTCTCTGCTAGCACACTTAAGTCATTTGACTTACCTAAGACCAAATGCACAAAGTAATTTGAGGGGAGCGTCCAACCAAAAATATGATGACAATCAGAAAATTACGAAAAAATTCGGAAATGTGAAAGAAAAAAAAAGTTATCAGGTCAATAAAATATAGTAGACTAGCAACTTAGGCATATTTGTCTTACACAGTTTCAGCTATGCAAGTATTACCCAAGCTCTGTCTACATAAAGTTTTTCAACTCATATTTTTAGCTCGATTTATGTAACTTTCTTCATTTTTTTTACTCATTTACATGCACACACTGTCCTAAGGGCAAAGCAGTACTGTACATGTACTCAAACCTCTCATTTCTGGAAGTGCTCTGCGCCAATTGTTCCGGCTAATGGAGATATCACTTACAGTATACCTATGTAAAATTTCACCACCGTATCTTCACTACCTCAGCACTCCGCTGAATTCATTTAAAATCACCATGTAATGTACCATAAGATATATATTCAAAGATAATCTATCTGTGTTTAGCAAGGACTTGTTAGGATATAAAAGTTATTCTACATTATGCCTTTCTTACCATGGCTTTGACTTCATTGATTTTCTATAAAGAACTGTACCAATTTCACTAAAAGAAATAAGTGACTGCTAAGAAAACATACCATACTACAATATTGAAAAATTCAGTAAAAATTACAAACATTTAAAGAGAAATTTATAAAGTGCAGTAAACAGAAACCTATTACCTCGTTTCAGTCTAACCCAAGCACCACGCTTCAACGTTGGGACTTCCTTCACTACACGCAGGACATCAGTCATTTGATTAATTGGTACCATCTGTGGAATAATATACATTATGATTTGGGATTCATGAAATACTTTTAACCAAATTTATTTTTAAAATCTTACATGAAAATATGAAAATACTTATGATGGGCATCATTATAAATATTCATGTATTTACAAGATATTCGAAGTAGATACAAAGGCAATTTTAAACACTTTGAAGATCCACCTTTAAACAATGGGTTAGATGCATAGTCAAATTGTAATCTGAACTTCAAAGCCAACCTGTAACATATCAGAAACATCAACACTCTTACCGTCTGCCTCCAAATACCAAGTCTCAGGTTTGATACACCGTCCATGGCAGACTTTACATGAGTCTGTTTGTACGCCTCAATGTAAATATAGCCCTTCACGCCTTCTGGGGCCACAACTGACTTAATCTGAAGAGGCTCTTCGGTGAATTGGTACGCAATCATTTTGCGCATCAACTGTAAGCACGTCATCTTCTCCTCACCAATGCGACACTTCACCATCCACAAGTTCGGGTCCCTAAAGAATGATCCAATCAAAAACACATCTAATGTATCCTACCAAGAAAGGGACTACAGTTCTTAGGATTTTGTTAAATCTGAAATATGGTTGCTGTTAATTATCTATTAACTATCAAATGTCAAATCAATCCCAAGGAAAATTAAGACTATCTGCCATCATGAGTTAAAATTAAGTAATTATGAGCACCTCTGACTCCCTTGGCTTCATTATAAGCACCTCAGGTCATTAAGAGTACAGTAAACCCTCTTGCATTTGTGAGGGATACATTCCTGGATAACCTGTGGTATATTGATACATTGGTTCAATTGAAATAAGGGGGTTAGGTGCCCAGGCAAAATTAAACATAGGGGGTTAAAGGCATACAATCAATCTTTGCAGCTTTTGGGGCACAGGTGAACCAGTCAGCGTAGTGACTATCACCAGCCGCAATCAACCAATACAGAACATAAATAGAACCTCTAAACCCCAGTCACTCTAAAGTCGGTAAACACCTTAAGTATGAATTCAAAATTCCTACCTCAAAAGTGAAGTGACAGGCCTCCAAAGTTTTTGGTTGGGCAGAGAAGTAAACACCCACCAACCACGGCTTTCTCCTACTTTATACATTTAAGATACTTCATTGATGAACATAATCTTGCTTATGTTTTGGTAATGTTTGTTCTGATCAATTGTTATAGCACTGTAGACAATATACTGAGCAAATAACAGCGTCAACATTTCCTCACACACACTAATACAACACTTCTGACCATATTCTTTAATACCAAGGAGTGATTAGCGTAAACATAAAATCTTATAGGTTACACATATACACACACACGTGCCTTAAGTATGGGACAATATGATCAAAAGCTCGTGTAACATTGAACTACAGTAGCTACTGTATAATATCCATCCCCAACCACCTTAACTAGTCATTATTCCCACTCAGATATCATGAGTAGGAATCTAATAAATGAGTTCAGAGTTCTGTTTATGAATAAAAAACAATAAATGGACCTAATGTAAATAAAATGGAAGATATCTGTCAACTACCATATGCCTTACTGAGGGTCTATGCAGTCATGTGAGCAGTCTTTCAATTTAAAATTTTGATCATTAAATTGATTAGAAGTTTGATAATTTAATTTTTGTATCCTAAAACACCAATGTCATGAAACTGAATTCTCATTAACACTCTCGGGATAAATCACTCATAAGTGGCGTTTTGATTTAATGGAAATGAAACTTTGCCTCACGATCAGACACGTCACCAAGCATATGGTTCATTTGCCCTAAAAGTTCCAGGTCGATTTACTTCAAATTTTAACGCCACTTTCTTCATGTCACTCTCCTGCTTGGAACCAGGTGTCCAGACAAACATGCTAGTTTTGCATCTAGCTCAGTAAGCGAGAGGTGTTTGTGTCCTGAACGTGACTTAAAAATGGCTGCCGTGGGTGTTTGCGCCAATATCTCCAAATATTTATTACTTACAACCTCATTATTTATTCTTATGAAGTGATAAAGTGATGTGTATTGAAGTATTTATAATGAAATATTTCAAAATATTTTTTAATTTGTGAGACGATGCAATGGCCACGTGGTCAAGTGGACGCTATCTCCAAATATTAATTGGTTACAACCTCGATATTTCTTCTTATGAAGTAATAAAGTGATGTAAATTGAAATATTTATAATGAAATAGTGAAATATTTTTTATTTATGAGACATTGATGAGATGGCTACTCACAATACAGTCACATATACCACACAAAAGCATGTTGTAATATATAGGCCTAGCTTGGAAAAATAGTGATAGTGAAATGTAGTGCAGTAGAAGCATGCATATGGGTATGGTGAATTATAATGAATATATTGTGCTTATGTGATATGTATTTGTAACGGCATCGCCATTGTCGTGCCAAGGTCTACCTCCTCTGAGTGGTAAGTGGAAATAGTGCCTAAATTAAAATTTTTGTCAGAGAAACTTCTAACTGGTCTATGTCTCTTCCTTAGTATGTGTACAGTAATAATTAATCTTTCAAAAGAAAAAATACTTTTGAAAGATTTTGACAAAAAACTAGCAAGAAAAAAAAGGGTATAAACATTTCAGCGACTACGTGCCTAACCACAACTTATTTTCACTTTTTATTCTGTAACTCCATTACATTTTACATTAATCTTTTTTTTCTGATTACACCATCGTCTTCCTCACGATTTACTCTTTCTTGCCAAGTGAATTTTATACTTACTGATGCAATGATGTGGGTACTGCACAAAGAGGAATCAACAGTAAACTCACTTTTTCACTAATACTCGCCAAAATGGCCTTTATTTTTACTTATTTTAGAGTGTTTCATGTGATTTATCAGCCTTTTTAACATACTGTAGGAAGGCATCACTTGAATAAATATCTGACAATATCTTAGCCAAGAATAGCGCTCCAAACAGAACAAGTGACAGGCTCATTAAACAAATTTCAGGCGATCCCGAGTGTGATAATTGGTTATTCAATAAGCACAACCACACTGTATCAACATATGCATACCTCCCTCTGAGCACACAAACTCATGGTATACACACTTGGTATAAATTCATGAATATTTAAAACTCTCGAATATGGAGGCCATTATGAGGATTTGCGAGATACCTTAAGTTATTTCAAGTGATGATATAACCGAGATAATTATGAACAGCAATGAAAATGGATGGAAGGCAAAAAATGATCTTGGTATCCAGAAGAAATCAAATGTAAACAATCTACTACCATTGTGAATATGGCTAAGACTGAACATTATTATAAGCAGTAATGATTCAACTTACATTGATATTATGACCATGTATGGGCACGCTTGAGAGGCTGAAGGAATTGCTGTTTTAGAGGCCCATATTGACATGAGATCAATATGAAAAATTCCACTTTGTCATCCTAATTCATTGTGTTCCTGAGAGCAAGTTCAGCAACTTTACAGAGAAGGTGTTTGGATTTGGATGAGCAAAAACAGTAACAAATGTAGTAACCCGACTCTTCTTAAACAAACACAAAACTTACTTAACACCAGGAAGCAGAGTCTGTTGAGTAATTTCATCGCTCATCTCTTCACCTCCCTCACCAAAACGCATGGCTGCTGATGACTCTTCGGCATACTTGCGACGATAATATTCTTCAATCTCTTCCTCTCGCTCATTACTGAAATAATAAAGTAGTTAGCTCCTATTCTCACTTCACACCTCTTCATATATATATATATATATATATATATATATATATATATATATATATATATATATATATATATATATATATATATATATATATATATATATATATATATACTCGCTCCCTGTAGCGATTGAAAACGCACAACCACTGCAAACGCGTGAATGGAATCCTAGCTTTACTCAAGCTGCAGAGTTATGTTAAATAATGCTATAAGAGTGATTGTGGGCTGTATACACTGGAGACATTTCATTCATAAACTTTTAATAATGTACAGTATGTGCCAGATAACTGTCTTGCAGAATAAGTTTATATGGAATACAATCAATATTGGGATTCAGGAATCACTTTGCATAAATTCATAAGCAAACTGAGGATATAGTGTGAGTTCCTCTTTGCTATTTCAGCCACACCCTGTTGCTTTCTACACCTTTCTTTCAACATTCTCCCTTATCACTTTCTCACTACTGTATCTTGAGGTTTCAGTTCCCTTTATGTACACTGTGCAAACAAAGCATATATAAAATATAAACAACTAAACCAGACTAATAAAATTCAAACTTTCCCAACATTTAGGAATACTGTACTGTACATCTCACCTTGTATTGAGATTCACTGTTAACTTTCAAATTAAACAGAAGAATGTGACATGCAATGGCTTCCTAGCTGCACTTAAAAATAGACTTAAGCAATTAATATATAATAAGACTCAAAACCCTATAATTGTTAAATATGTAAGTTGTCTGTAAACCTATAAAATGATATGCAATATTTTTTTCTAGTTCTTTCTACTCAACTTATAGTTCACAATAGAGAAAACAGCACATCAATTTCAGTTCCATTCTTAATTACTGTAAACTCATTCCAGGATTACCTTGTCAAGAATATCTTAAATCACCACACAAATTTATTCTCAACTTCTAATTTTAATATATAAAAGTATAAATGACTTATTCCTTCCATTTCCAGGAAAGATGATCAAAGTTGCTGGGTACAATAGATATGAATAAATAAAATCACATGCACATATAAAATCTATACAGTATACATTATGTCTTATGTATGCTATTTCTCTTCTCTTTCCAACAAATAAGGCAACTGGTTTATTTTAATTACCCAGTATATACAGTACGTATATATCAACATGCCTAATTTCAACTAACCACTATCATTACCATTAAAACAAAAAGAGAGATGGCAACTTACTCCCAAACACTGTGTGCTCTACGGTTGGCTTCAATCTCACGGGCAGTTACGCCAACCTCCTCCTTCTCATTACCCAACAGATCATAATAATCACCCTGCAAAACAAAACCAACAGATAAGATAAAGTTCTATGTAATATCTAAAAGAAAATTAAATATAAAATACCATCATTGACATTAAGATTAATACAAAGGCAATTTATCACCCATTAAACAATACACAACTTCTGCTAAACAGACTAAATCATGTAGAAACTCAAACTATTAATATAATCATGGATAACTGATTTTTTTTCTTCATGAAGATTTATCTGGCATAACACAACTATCTACCAATACTCTATGTGCTTTCCTCTAGTATAAAACTCCAGCTACTGTTGAATCAATATACTGGCAGATGTCTACGATATAATGAGTAATTGATCCTGAAACCCAATTCCATGATGAAGCTTGTATGTAGAAACTATGCACAGTCCCGTATGAGCCAGAAAGTTTAGGATATTGAATCCCAAGCTTGTGTGTCTGGGATCCCAAAACCAAATAAATAAAAATAAACTATAATATTTCATCCTCATCAGATTCAAAAAAGTTTTATTGTATATTCTATTAAATTAACTGTCAGGGCAGGAGACAGCCATGTCTAAATTTGGAGCACTCCAAGCACTAGGTACAAGATAAATAAAATCCAGCACCTAATATGTCATTAGCTATTACCTATGGCTTTGCTAATTATCTGCCCGAACCAGGTTATTCTTAGACCAAATTATGCCTGATCATATGAATACATCTACCATATCCCTGAAATCAGTTCTACAATGAACTTTATGATAAAATTCAGTAAATGCAGCTAAATTTGTTTATATTCTCCAATCTGGGAAAACTTGATCTGAGCTGGGACATTTTATGGCTACAGTGCCAAGCACATAACACACTGTCTAGCAAACCAGTAAATTGGGGTATAAAGCAACGTACAGTGGTCCCTCGGTTAACAAACACAATTCGTTCCACAGAGTCGTTTGTTAACCGAAAATTTTGTTAACCGAATCCATTGTTTCAATGGGATATTGAGTAATTGGTCCCCTCACAGAAAAGTACACTTACTTTGAGGTGTGTATGTAGAAGGTTCCTGGTTGATGATGATGATGGGAATTAGAAGTGGGGGTGGAGGAGAAGGGAGAAGAGAAGGAAGTGGGGATGGAGGAGAAATCACCTTTCAGGGGACCCATGCTTGATGCAGTAATTTCAACAATAAAATTTTAAGTTCACTCGCTGTATTCAAGATTATTTTATTTAAATCAACACTGCACTGCGCTATATATTATCAATATGTTAACTAAATTTCAGAATGACCAATAATTTTAATGTAAAAATGCAAAAATATTCAAGACACCAACAAAATTGATGTTCACTCCACTGTCAACAAAGCCAAACTGACGCCTGGTGGCTGAGTCAAGCGGCTGATGGGCGCACAAAAAGCTAGTTCCCTGTACTGCATATATTATCAATATGTTAACTAAATTTTAAAATGACTATTAATTTTAATAAAAAAATGCAAAAATATTAAAGAGCACAACTTTCTTGATATATACTCCACTGGAAACGGATGTAAACATAGAACAGATTACTGAATTGGCAGACTAGCCCATCAGCTCATCAGCCGATGCTCACAACAAAACATGTTTTTCGTAATGATTTCGTTAATCGAAGTTTTGTTCGTTAACCGAATTGAAGATCTTATGGGAGGTAATTCGTTAACCAAAATTTTGTTAATCGAACCGTTCGTTAACCGAGGGACCACTGTAAATGAATATCGTAAAATAAGCATATACATTGACTTCTTAGTAAAAAAAATGCTTTAATAAATTAAGAAACACCAGAAACCGAGTAATGTCTATAACATATTAAATAGTTATAACAAGTCCAACATCAGCATATATATAAGACTTACGTCCTCATCTTCGTCATCTTCACCTTCATCATCATCTACTTCAGCCTCCTCCAAGAAGTAATCTGACACAGCACCTCTTTTTCTCTTCTTCTTTGCATGTCGTTCTTCATCTTCCTCCTCTTCACTGTCATATTCCTAGTGGGAATAAAAGATACGAGTTCAATTATAGTAGTCACATAAATAAAATTCTAGGAAAAAAGTAAGTCAAACCCAGAAAATGTCTTTTGCCTTCCTTACCATATGCTTATGCCTTTCTCATACAAAGAGTGAAAACTAGAAAAACGTTTAGATGTATGAAAAAGCCTTCCTAACAGTCAACCATAACACAGCAGGAAGATACAAACACTCACCTGTTTAAGTTTACATAGTTAACTCCTTAATTATAATGACATTGTATTTAGGATTTCTGGGGCTTAAGTCATTGTACACATAAGGGTTAAGTGACTTACTCAAAGAATTAGGTGACTTATTTCAAGGAATTTTCAACAAAGTCAAGGGCTTAAATGCAACATGAGTAGAGAACAGACAAGGCCCTCAAGAATTCAATATACACACAAGGGCAATGTTACAGCGATGGAATTTCTAAACCAGAAAGAAACTGGACCCATAGGCCTGAAGGCCCATTAGTGGTAGTGTAAATACAATGCACTAAGTATTAAGCCTTGGTACACAACGAGAAAATAAATCTGAACATCTGTGAATCACTTGGTGTCATTATAGACATGTGAGGTACATGGCATCATTATAAGTTCCTATGATTCACTGGGCATCGTCATGAGAAACTAGGAGTTAGTTGGCATCATCTTGACCGTATATGAATCACTTGGCATTACAGGAACACATGTGAATCACTTTGGGTTATTGGGAGCAACTGGGAGTCACTTGGAATCATTATAAGTACCAGTAAGTTATCTTTTATCATTTTGAGCATGTCACTTGGCATATTTATGAGCACTGGAAAGTTAACTGGGTTACTTTTTAAAGTGTAAAACCTTGATAAATTGGACTAATTGGGGGAAGACCCCAGTCCGAAAAATGCAAAGGTCAGAAAAAAAGCAAATATATGGGGGAGGGGGATGGAGATAACACAGCTTATCTGAACTGTTCAAAGAAAATCAGTTGTTGTTATGTTATTACTGCACTTCAACAACTAAGGTCTTTAAGTGTATAACAAGGTTATTAAAAGAATATTACATCAACAATAAAAAAATATGAAACCAAACTCTTTGGGTTGAAAATCACACTTTGTCTAGTTGTCAACAACTGTTTTCACCAAGATAATTGTTATTTACTGTAAAGTGTTATATGTAAAACCACAGAATTAGTCTTATGAATAAAGATAAAACTGTATACAGTAAGTTCTCGCTTAACGTCATGGCTCCGTTCCTCAAAACCGCAACGTTAACGGAATCAATTTTCCCCATAAGAAATAGATAAAATACGGGAGTTACGTTCTGAGCCTCCCTTTGCCCCATAAAATACATTACATATACAGAAAGTGGCGAGTCACTGAGACCCGGCGGGTGGCTCCTCCTCCCGGTTTAAAACCCCCATTTTTGTAGCAAGGCTTATGGTCTTATGTTGCTTCTTCACAACACTAATGTCAGTAGCACTTGATGGGCACTTGGAAGCCATTTCAAATTATCAAGAGAACAGTATTAAGAGCAAAAACACTTAAACACGCACAAACGCAATGGAAGCCTAACAAAGACTGAAGCCGCTTGGGGACGGTGACATTCCGCGAGTGAGATATAGCGCGCCAAGACGAGAGAGGGTGATGTGCCGTAAAAAGTAGTCAGTGATGACGCTAAAAATGACGTTATATTGAGTCGTTGGGACATTAACCGAATTATTGGAGATCTAAAGAGTAGCAACGTTATAACGAAACAACGTTATCAGGGGCAACGTTAAACAAGGACAGTACTATAAAGAAAAAAATAACAACAAATAAGTGTAGGAGTACATTGTATGTGGAAGACCAGTGTTTATCTAGGAGCAGCTGGCAGAGGGGAGGGGAGGGGGTGGCTCCCAGCCCCAAAGATTCTTTTAATACTTCTTTGTGCATTTTCATCATAATTCTCATATAATTTAGATTCATTTGGTACCAGGATAAAATATTATCCTTAAAGAATCAGCTTTCCTGAAAAATTAATCTCTCTGAACACCATGAATCATTTGTTTACAAAGGGCACACAGCTGATTGGCTTGGCACAATGTCTGTGTTCAACACTCAGTAAATTAGTACAGTACAGTCATGTATTTATCATCACTTAATAAGTAATATTATAGTGTACAACATTGTGTATCTGCCTATACCCTGCTTTATTAATTAATCATTTGTCTAGGTGTACAAGTAGCCAAATAGAGCCATTATATAACACTCAAAAGTAGCAAATAATGTTGCTAGGAAGGTATCTTCATGTCAAATACTGTACAATGTGTTATAGTGATCCCTGTTGTAAGCTGGTCTGCTGAAAGCACTCACACAAACACATCTTAAGTAAAGAACCTTTTGATATAAAAAATAAAAGGACAACCACTAAGAGAATGAAGAAATTGTGTACTCCAGATAGCTAGTAAGACCAGAAGGAAAAGCTAAAAGTAAGAATCGAAGGAAAAAGCCTATGAACAATATGGGTGAAATGAAATATGAAGACAGCACTGAGGGTGAAAGTTGGACACCTGGCTATCCCTGAAGCAAACATCCTGATGATGAGGGAACAAGGGCATCTATATTGTCATATAAGCTAGTACTGTATTACCAGTGGCCCTGAAAGATGTGCCAGCTTTTACAATGGAGTTCAAGTCCAAATATTAACCAACAATAGGTAAAAAATAAAAAAATAAAAATAAAATAAAATCTTAAAATTCCTATGATTAAATAAGACTGCTTAATCAAAAAATAATAGAGAGGGGAGATAGAAAGCATATATGGACAGAGAAGTACAATATTGCACCATATTCACCAAAAAGATGTCTTTCATCAGAGTTCAGTATGTGAAGAGAGTAACAGAAGCCTGGTGTGGCCATGAAACAAGATCAACCCATTTTTTTTCTTTCAAACCAGTATTTTTTTTGGTGTACAATAAAATTTCCATAAAATCTAAGGAATGTTGACCCAACACAATCAAAACTATACACTACAATCATCCTCCAAGTTATGGAAGGGATGCGTCCTAGAAAAGTTGACCATAACGTGAACCCTACTGTCCCATTGACTTCCATTATATAATTGAAGATGTATTTCTAAAGAAACGTTTTTGGCAAAAAGAAGAAATATGAGAACACTTATGAATGAAAATAAACATTTTTAAACACATACCTGTATATTGATTATTTTATATATGATAATACACAAAACACTTGAATTTAACTCACCACAAACCATGGTGAATGCTGCATGAGGTGAGGTGGTGCAATGGGAGTTCTTGGGAGACTTAGCAAGCCCTAATGTTTTTGTAATCTAATTAAGTTTTCTCCCACATCAAACTACATAAAATATCAAGTTTTATATCCAACATAATTCCTTTACGGGCTCTTTTAGCACTCCTGTTTTCACTTGCACTTGATGGCCTCTTTCTACTCATCTTGAATAAGGATAATACACTGGATACTCTTGAATAATATATGTATATACAGTCGATCCTCGTTAAAACGGACTAATAGGGGGGGGAAGGGTGTCCGTTTTAGCCGATCATCCGAATTAACCGATTTAGGGGTTAATATTGCATTATATTTCAAAGAAAATGCAGTGAGTTTGTCCTTAGCCTTGCATATGTCCGAAACTGTTTGCTTTTTAACACCATACTCATCACAAACTCTAGCCACCGAGGCACCAGCCTCTAACTTCCTTATAAGTTCCAGTTTCTGGTTCACAGAAAGGGTCACATACTTCCTCTTTGGCGTTTTACTCCCCCTTGAAGACATGATGTAAAATACAAGGCTGAAAGATCCCTAATCACTGAAATATCAACGAAAATTGCAGGGCAACACAACACTGATACTCGAATATGGCGCTAAGTCAACAATGACTGGCAGTCTGGCGAGCACGCCATATATCGGACAATCCCAGAACCAGAAATTTGATACGGACAGTCCCTCGCTTAGTTCAGATTTCGTCCGAATTATCCGAAATCCGGATTAAAGGAGTCCGAATTAATGAGGGTCGACTGTAAGTGTTAAATCCAAGAGGTGAGGTCGAATGAACAAGCGTACATGCTGGGATTGATTGATTGATTGATTTATGGAATTTAGGCTCAAAGCCAAGCACTGGAGCGTACACTCTGGGAGATATAAACATAAACAAAGGGAGTCCAGCGGCACTTCATGGTAGCAAACATCAAGAAATCCACACCAAATAAATTATGTCGGTGATTTTTTCTTTTGTTCTATATTGCAATTTTTGTGTTGAGAATTTTGAAAATTTACCCAATTTCTTTAAGGTCAGATTTATGGGGCTTATCCCAAATTTTTTTTTAAATTTACAAATTCCGTACGGGAGAATTTCCATAGCCCAAATTTCCGTTACGTGACAGATACCTGTACAGTAATTGGAAAACAAAATACTAAACAGTACGTCTTAGTCTCAAAAAGTATGGAGTGCCTTCTAAACATATTATTATTATTACAGTACTAACATATAAAGGGGAATCCTTCTGTTATTACAAAAAATAATAAAAATTATTAAAAATATAATGGCCAACAATACATAAGATACAAACTTATGTGGACCATGAGATTGGCATTTGACACAACACAGTCCAGTACTCACAGAATTAGCAATATCTTCACCATCAGCTGGTTCTTCATCTCCACTAATCTCCTCTTCCCCACTTCGTGCTTCCATCGCTTCATCTGATCTTACAGACCGACTTCTGCTTCTGCTCCTACTTCTGCTCCTGCTTCTACTTCTGCTCCTACTTTGACTTCTGCTTCTACTTCTGCTCCGGCTCCTACTGCGACTTCTGCTCCTGCTACCTGACCTGCTGCGGCTCCGACTACCACTGGCACTGCGACTTCTGCTTCTGCTTGGCGAACGTTCACGGCCAGCACTGCGACTTCGGCTTCGTCGATTTTCACCCTAAACGGTACAAAAAATTTGATCACGATAATGATACACACAAACTCCACAATAACAGGACAGTGTCAAGCACATCCTAAGCCATGCAGCCCTAATATAATAAAGGGCAATTTAGTTGGGGGTCCTCAAATTCTTGGATAGGATCCCATCCCAGCCTGAGCCAGGGTTAATGTTAGTTCAAATTCATATAATGACCAACTATTCCATCCTCCAGCACTGCTAACCTCAAAAGAAGGTAGAGCTGAAAATCTCATACAGTACCAAATACTTACCAACCAATTATCACTCACTAAGCCCCACCCACTATGAATTTGTGCTAATCTGGATGAGACAGTGAACAATTGTGCTAGATCATCTCTGCCTTGGTCTGCTTTAACTTCTACAAAAAGTTAATGTCAACCACAGTTACTGATGCTCAGGAAACAGCTAAAAGCCTTATACTGACTGATTTAACTGTTATCATATTAGCTGAATACATGTACTGGATTTAAATCAAACAACCCTGATTTCTTTCTTAGACTACAGACAGGATCATTTACCCTACCTCACTGTCGCTGCCCGGCCCAGACTTTTCCTGCTCGGAGTCTGAGTGGTAACTTCCTTCACTCTCTGACATTGTGCCTGGTTATTTCTGTGGAAAAACAACTGGCATTAAGAACTAGTTTTTGCATACAGTACATAACAATGTAATGTATTGTTTACTTTACATGAAACAAAGTATAGTACTGTACAGTGAAGGTACCATACTGTACATATGAATGGCATTGACAAGTATGGTATTCAAGTTAATTCAAGTTTAATTCTTATATTGCACTAAGAACCTCCCCCTGTTCATGCAGGAGAATAAAAATTTTCCTTCATTACAGATGTAAACGTATCTAAACAGTATAAACTTTGTCTCTTAACTTTCCACTTCACATTCTTTATTTGAATATCCTTCACTACATGTAATATTATCATCACTATTAAACATAGGCATCCACTTTCTTAAAAGGCTCATGTTATAGAATGGCACATGGGGGTTGCCCCTGAGCCCTTCACCAGCACAAGATATCAACAAATGTCCATCTGCTATAGTCATTACTGTATTTGTACACTGGGGGTGTAAAAACATGAAACCTCCACAGATGACGGCAGCCATCCCTGCAGCTAACCTCCACCAATGATGGCCCTCATTTAAGGGCTATACTTTGACAGCAATACACTGTGGTTCATTCCTGTTAAACTGGTGCACATGGTACATTATTTCCACTCACAGAAATCAACTTTATTAAGTAAAAAAAATGTTTTGGTGAAAAGATGAATGGTAAGATAATAAATGTTACAAATAAGGACGCCACTAAACTAGCCAATTTTTTAGTTACCTGATAGTCCTTGTTGTGAGTGTTCAGGATATATAATTTTACTTCATTTATACCAAAAACCATTACAGTACATCCTCGATAACTCGTAATTTCATATAAAGCGGCATGGCTATGATCTCGGAATGTATTAGTATAACTCGGGAAATGTCGAGATACCGGTAATTAAGTTACTGACAGATCACTACAAGCCCAAAAGATTTCACATTGCTGAAACTTTTAAATTCCACAGATGCATTCAGGAAGCAAATGAGTCCACTGCAAATTAGTGTTAGGCTAAGACACATGGCTGCAACATGTGATTTTGGCCAGTTCCTCACCAAAGCATTGAGGGATCAGTTTGTAAAGTGGGATCCACAGTGCTGAGACCCAAAGGAGGCTGATTACAGCCAAAAGATCTTTTGAAGAATGTCTTCAAATAGCCCAAGCTCATTAGGTTGCTGCCGTTGAGAAGCAGCAGTTCCGGAATCAAAATGCGCCTGTTCACCAAGTTGAAGCTGGAGATAGTGATGAAGTTTCGGTGCATCAAGTCCAGCGTTCAAGAAAGTTACCACAGCCAGTGAGCAAGGCAAGGGCCATGCCCAAGCAGTATAACCACTCCACTGCAAGGGAAGGAAATTTTTCAGATCAAACCTTCTACACATACAAGTGCTTCTCTTGCGCTAAACCCGGGCATCAGAGAAGAAATTGCCTGTTCAGCGACTGTGTGTAACAAGTGCAACACCAAGGGACACATCGCTGCTGCATGTAACAGAAAGAACATTCACACCGTAAGGGTTGAAGACAATGAAGTACAAGATGTTCTACAACTTCAAGAGCAAATACATACTGTGAATTCTGTACATACCAGTACTACTGCAAATGCTCCCATTAATGTTTCTTTGAGGCTTGAAAAGAATGATGTTACCATGCAGTTAGATACAGGTTGTGCCATTTATATTGCCCCTAATGACTTGTATGAGAAATATTTTTCTAAATTACAATTAAAGCCATCCAAGGTATGTCTCCTCACTTATACTGGTGAAAACTTTAAACCATTAGGTGAAATAGAAGTGGATATTGATTACAAAGGGAAGCAGTTTAAACTTCCACTAGTGATTGCTCCAAAAGGTTCATGTGCTTTGCTATGAAGGAGCTGGTTGTTCAAACTGGCACTTGATTGGAAAGATGTGTTTTTTGTAAATCATCTTCATGCCTCTAAAAATGTTCCAGATGTTTCCACTAACCTAGAAAACTACAATGAAGTGTTTAAAGATGAGCTAGGATGTTATAATAGTCCAGAAGTTGAACTCACTGTTTCAGAAAATTCAAAATTTCACAAAGCTAGACCAGTTCCTTATGCCTTTCAGTCCAGGGTACAAAATGAGTTAATAAAAATGGAAAGTGATGGAGTAATTGAGTGTGTTTCATGTGCTCCATTTGGTGCTGCTCCCATTGAGTCTGTGAATAAAAGAGATTCAGATAAAGTCAGAATGTGTGGTGATTTTAGTGTGACTTTCAACAAATGTGCTGATGTAGTAATGTAACCTATTCCAAAGGTCGAAGATTTACATTCAGTTTTGAGAAATTGTTCTGTGTTCAGTGTGCTGGACATGCCACAAGCATACCACCAAATTTCTATAGCGATTGAATCTAGTAAGTACAGTACAGTATCTCACTATCAATGCTCACAAGAGATTGCCTTTTGGTATTCACTCTGGCCCTGCTATTTTTCAGAGAATAATGGATTATATGCTTTCTGACATTCCAAAGGTTATAAGTTACTTAGATGATATCCTCACTGCAGGAAAAGACAAGAAGGATCACCTAGATACATTGTGTAAAGTTCTGCAAGGGTTGCAAGAGTCAGGTTTCAGATTAAATAAGAACAAATGCAAATTAGAGCAAAATTCTGTCACATATCTTGGTCACAGAAAAGATGGCGAGGGCCTTCATCCCACACAAGATAAACTCCTTGTCATAAGTCAAGCTCCACCCCCTAAAGATGTAACAGCCTTAAAACCCTTCCTAGGCCTGATAATGTTTTATTCCAGATTTCTGAAGAATCACTCCACTGTATACTTGCCTCCCTGAATAGATTGCCAAAGAAGGATGTTCAATGGGTTTGGACCAAAGTAGAAGATGAAGCCTTCTCTAAGGCAAAAATGTTACTGCTACATTCAGATACTCTTGTACACTATGATGACTCTTTACCACTGTTCGGTAATACACTGTGTTTTCTAAGAAATAGAAATTGCCTCACTATTTTTCTGATGAAACTCGGCAATCGACGTAAAATATTCTATCACAATGTCGGCACAGCTCTTCCACCTGTTCAGCCATATCTGGTACTGAAAATTCAAATCTCCGCTCCTGACGCACCCACGCATTGTTCATTGGCTAAGACAAGAAACCCTTGCCCAATAATTAATCTCCTATTGCTTTTGCCAATAAGAAACTCCCACACAACCCCCACACATGCCCTGTATACTCCTAAGAAGTGAAGACGGAGGTAAGGAGCACTGGCTGAGGTGGGGTCAGACCTTCTCCGCCAGATGTAAACAAATCATGGAGACACTTGTGACTGAGGAAATCTAATAATATTGAAAAATTAATATCTCCGAGTTGGGGCACGTGCCAATTTGGCAACAGTGTATGGGTCAACTGACAGTTGAACTTCCGCCGTTTGCAGACCCATACAATGTTGCCAAATTGGCACATACCCCAACACTCGGTTATCCTTAATTTCCGGAAGAGATATCATAGAAGAAAAATGTCTTAGAATTGTCTAAACATTATGAAATACATATTAAAAACAGCGAGAGAAGGACTGGTGTATCACTATAAATTCACCCTTAATACCATTGTTGACATTGGCCCATCCTATGTGAGGCCGAACGAGATTACCAAAATGGGCCGAGATCACTGTAACTGGGCTGAGTTCACTGAGTCGAAGTCACCAAGGGTCAACTTCACTTGTATCCACTTCCTCCACCCAAAAACTCTCACTTACCAAATATCTTCCCATAAGATTGTTGAGGGGAGGGGAGGGGGGGTGAATATAAAAAAACTAGTGAATTCCAACGGAAAGAATGTCATATTCGTTCAAAACTCATTAAAAACCACAGGAAAAACATATTTTAGTATTATTTTACTTTAGGACATAGTGCACCCCAAAGTTTAAAAGTAGTGAAACATTTAGATGATCTTATTTTGAGTCTTTTGAACCCCATTTATACTAGTTGGAAATGAATAGGGTGACCACCAGAAGGAATTGTCCGAATTGGTTTAATTTTTTCTACGCACTAATATCATATTAAACACAAAAATGGAAACGACAATGCATAGAACCTGACCTAACATACCGATAGGTTGGGTACCGTATGTTAAGTCACGTTTTATTAGGTTCTATGCATTATTTTGTACAGTACTGGGTTTTTTTATATAATGCGAATAACATATTAAACACAGAAAGGGAAATGACAATGCAGAGAACCTAATAGAACCTGACACTCTTTTTATTTACTCTATCCCGCTTCACAATTCTCCTCCCGATACCATTTTTGTTGTTTACCTTACTGAATCCCTGTTCAAGAGACATTTCCGAAATGATGGTGAACGCTTCCACCTATTCCTCCTCACCATTGCTGATGTATATCAACCTCAATACTAAGGTAAGTTGTTTAACACATAAATTAACATGATAATGCATAGAACCTACCAAACATACCCATAGGTTAGGTACGTTAGGTCAGGTTCTATGCATTGTCGTTTCCATTTTTGTGTTTAATATCATATTACTGTAGTGTAGAAAAAAATTAAAACAATTCGGACAATTCCTTCTGGTGGTCACCCTCTTCTACACCTTTACCATGAATAGGATAGGTTATGTTAAGTTCGTTTGAATTGAATTGAATTGAAATAGTTTATTTAGCCAGAAAAACACAGATACAGAGTGGATAATAATACTGTAACAATATTAACATGGCTGAGCCAGTTGAGAACCTGAGCTCTCTTTTAGGCACCTAATATATACTATACATTTATCTCAAGGAAGTATTATGTAACATTTACTATCATCTGGAATAGTACAATAGCATGGTGGTAATAAGAACATCTCATAATGTTACCACGATTATCACCTCATTTTTTATTTATAAGTAAATATATAAATTACAGTGGAATTGAAAAACATAAGTATAATGGGGGAGCAGTACAACATGGGTTGTACAGTAATAAGGTTGAACAAGAGGACAGAGCTGTCAGGATTACCCGGTATGTCTAGTTGGCAATTATGTTTATTGCAATGGTAATTTCTTATCTATTTACATAATAATTTCCGATAAAACGGTTTTGATGGTACAATAAAAGAAGGTACTGTAAATATAGTAGGTATTCAAGAAATATTAATACTTAGACAATAGATATTTTTTTAGAGGTGATTTAAAGGAAGGGAGCAGTCTTTCCTCGGATGTGTGGGGGTAAGTTGTTCCACACCTTCACACCGTGATATTTCATGGAGGTCTGGGACTGAGAGGGCGGATCTTAGTAGCTCTGGGTGCTTAAGTTGTATCTCTGATTATCCCGGAACTGGAAATAATTAGTGTCAAGCAAGTGATTGATAGATTTGTAAACAAAGAGGGCACAGCAGTAGGTGTTAATATCTTCGAATTTTAACATTTTCAATTTAGCATTTTTTTCGTTTGTGTGATGATTTTTTTTTCAAGTAGGTCATTGTCCATACAACTCTCTTTTGTGCAGTAACCAGAGACTGTGTTTTGAAGAGCCAGAGGCCCCCCATAGTGTGTGACAGAGTATCAGGTGTTGGTAAACAAGATCATGATAGATTTCTTTCATTGCTGTTTAAGCTAAGCCTACTGGGGGTCCGGGGGTGAAGCCCCCGGCTAGGGATTAGGTCAGGTTAGATTAGGTTTGGTTAGGTTAGACGACTCATTTTTGTTAAAACCCCGATTTCCCAGGCTCTCCCCGATTATCGTTTGAAGTACTTCTCCAAAATTTAAGATCAGATTCTTTTAACACACACCAAAATACACTATAAAAACATATTGAGGTAAATTTGTACCTTAGGGCATGAGCCCCTTGGGGTTGACCAATATGTTTTTCCAGTGTATTTTGGTGTTTTAAAAGAAACTGACTTTCATTTGTGGCGAAAATTGCTAGTCTCCTAATGGGGAGAGCCTGGAATATCGGGGTTTTGGGGCGGGGGAGAAAACGAAAATGAGTCATCTGACCTTAACAAAAACCTAACTCCTAGCCCCAGACCTTCCGGTAGGCCTAGCTTAAACTAACCTAAATTTTTCAGGAGCTAAAAACAATGGGGCACACCATGTCCGAAAGTACAATACCTTAGTTAGAAGTGGAAGGACCAGGGATACGTAAGAATTGCATAGAATGATCGTCTTTCTTGTAAGACTTGGCAATAAACTTAAAATAATCATAGGAGCACAAACGAAAACCAACCTCCACCACGGCCATTGTGAGACTGGTCAATTAAATTATCCAGGCTGCTTCCTTTGAAAAAAAAATCAAATGTAATTGGTCGAAAAAAATTCCCGTGAAGATATCGATACCTCATTGGCCACGACTGGATGACGTTAGTCAATATTGCGAATGCGTGATGTGCCGATAACATCTCCTCACAGAGACGAAGACTGAAAACTACTTAATCAATTAAATTCACTTGTGTCGCTATTATCCATTTACACAATGTATATATGGAGTTTAAAATGCTCAGAATAGTGAGATCTAAATGTTTCAGTAGTTTATAACTTTCGGGGGCGCTATGTCCAAAAGTGAGTGAGTGTCTGAGTGAAATAATACCCATATTGGTCAACCCCATATTTCTAATACCAAAAGACAGACTGGTTCACTACTGTAAATTGACCTTACTGAGACGGGGGATGTGGCTGTAAAGTTCTCCATATTAGCAGTGATTTTACACCAGTTATACACAATATTATCGCATTTTCCACAACAAAAGAAATAAGCTATGAATCCTTACCCCGTATTTTATCCCCTATTAACCCTGGTAATAATCAGGGCAAAAGTAGTATGGAGCACAAACCCCTCTGCACGTGTCTAACATTTCCTAATCTCGAAATCCTTCTAAATTTCAATTAAATTACAATCCAGGAAAATAGATTACTTGTAATATTAAAAAATATCAACATTCCTTTCGTTATCACACTGTCATGAGCCACTATGCTTTAGACCTGTATCTGAATTTCTATTTACTGTTTAACGTTAATAATCTTCCTGAAACACCATGGCACATATAAAAACTTTTCTGGTTATAAAACATTGACATAACTAACATTATTCCTCAGCTTCAAGTGATAATGGTGGGGATACACTCTCACAGGACCCCATATGATCCAAGATGGCCGAGCGACTGTTGTTGTTGCTCCTCGCCTTGAGTTAACCCGGTGGCTCAAAATTTAGTTGCAGATTGTGTTTTATACATTGTGTAGATATTACACCACTAATTGAAGCCTATTAAGCGGAAAGAAAATAAATTAAAGCCAACTGTCCATGAAATTAGACAGTGAAGTCATGACAACAGTTTTCAAAGGGCGATGAGAAACGACTGAACATATGGGGCGGCTCATTTTAGATTAACGGATAAAGATCTTGACACGAGTAAATTCCTCCCCCAGAACACATTTTGTAACATATAAGTAAATAGCTTAGGTGTGGTATGGGTTTATTACAATTCTAATGAACATACCCCACTAGCGTAGCTAGGGGGGGGCGGGGGGGGCGGTCCGGCCCCGGGCGGCACTTTTGGGGGGCGGCACTTTTGGGTCTGCTCATCACCCATATCTGCAGCTACTGGAGACGTTAATCCATCCCTTTGTATCGGCGGCAAGTTAATCCTTGTCGTGTCTGACCTAACACCTGACCCACATCATCACGACCACGTCATGAGCTACACCCTTGCTATGCGCCCCCCCCCCCCGCCACACACACAACCTGTAACCTGTTGAGGATTAAGGAAACTTATAAAGTTTAAGTATGTTTGGTGTGTATTTAAAGCATACTATATTTGAGTATGTGAAAGTACAGTAATATTATAATGGTACACAAACTATTTAATATATATATATATATATATATATATATATATATATATATATATATATATATATATATATATATATATATATATATATATATATAAGAGTGAGTCACTGTGCAATATGTATTTTTTGTGGGGGCACGGGAAGCCGCCCCGGGCCGCACACACTCTAGCTACGCCACTGACATACCCAGGAAGTGGGCTTTCCATCATAGCGACTTCGTCCATAGCTTATAATATGTACTGTTGTAACGTAGTTGTACAACTTGTAGGCCACAGGCCGTGACAGGCATACTGACACTACCGATACAATATTGTAGTGGATTTCTCCCCTACAAACGCTGTTTGTCGCTGCATAGCTGACCCTGCGAATTCCACAGTGTGTGCCTCGTGGTCTAGGTCAACCAGCGCCGCCCACGGAGCGGGGGTCAACTATTAAGCCACGCCAACCCCCGCTATTTAAGACCTGACCTCGTGGTGATCTCTCTTCTTTCTACCTACATCAACCAGCCAGCAACACCTCCTCCTCCTCCTCCGCTGCCTGGCGGCCCTCGCTCCCGCCGGCGAGCATGGCGACCCACAAGCTGGTCCTCCTCTGAGCATCCTCACCAACCAGCTCTCTCTACATCAAGCTTGTAGCCATGCTGCCTTCCCAGCACCAAGCTGCATTGTACATCCAATACAACATGTATAGAGAGCACATTGTGAGTTTCCTTTCTCCATCCCATCCTGAGTGTGAACCAAACATCCCATACCCCACAGGCTCACTGCACTCGCCATGTTCCCCCACCAACTTCTTGGGCCCCCCCTTTTGATATTCCTGGATCCATACCCGCTCTATAGGTGGCCATGCCGAGGGAAGGACGCCAGTGGCCTGCGTAGGATCCCTTCACTGCTCTCTTTTACTTTTATCCTCTTCGCCACTGATCGGTTCGTTCTTCGCTTTGGCGGTCGGTCACGTCTCTGTTACGCACTGTTTGCAAGTCCTAGCTCCTGAATGTACCTGAACCTGCTCACACTTGGTGCCGTTGTCATGCGACAAATCTTCCGGTGTGATAAACCTTCCGGGCTCAGCAATTACTGATGTTCATTGTCGACATCTAAGATGTATGGTTGATTTGTGAGAGCTGAAAATATTAATATATACGGTAACAGAAGGTTTGAATGACTTTCCCATTATATCTTGGGCAAACTGACTACAGTATAAGGATGATATGAAACATACTCACTACCAAAGACAATGAAAGCACAAAGTGGGCAGTTCTTTGAAGTCGATGGAAATTGTGGGGTAAGAACACAAAAAATGAACCAATGAAACCCAAAGAATCCTGACCTAACCTTCCCTAACCTAACATTACAAAATCTTACCCTACTTAAGCATTTACCCCAGAAGGTTTTGCGCACGGAAGGTTTGTCGCACGACACCGTCACAACACTCTCCGGCAGGTTGTTCCAAGAGTTCACCAATCTCACTCCGAAAAAGTTCGCCCTCACAGTTTTCTGGTCTTACGGCTTCTTCAACCTTTAGTTGTGACCCCTAGTGGGGCGAGTGTCCGCCAGATTCTGGTATAGACACTCGACTGAGTAGTGCCCTTTGAGATGTTTATACACCTCAATTACTGTAGGTCTCCCCTTACCCGTCTGTAGTATAAGCTAGATAGTAGGTAGTAGGCAGCTACCAAACAGGGAGGTACTGTAGTGTACTGTATTGTGGCCAGTAGTCAATTCTCTTTAGATGTCTATTATCTCTTTGCATGGCCACACAACGTATGTACATGTAGATATCTTGTAGTGGATTTCTCCCCTACAAACGCTGTTTGTCGCTGCATAGCTGACCCCGCGAATTCCACAGTGTGCCTCGTGGTCTAGGTCAACCAGAGCCGCCATACATCACGGAGCGGGGGTCAACTACTAAGCCACGCCAACCCCAGCTATTTAAGACCTGACCTCGTGGTGATATCTCTCTTTCTACCTACACCAACCAGCCAGCAACACCTCCTCCTCCTCCGCTGCCTGGCGGTCCTCGCTCCCGCCGGCGAGCATGGCGACCCACAAGCTGGTCCTCCTCTGAGCATCCTCACCAACCAGCTCTCTCTACATCACGCTTGTAACCATGCTGCCTTCCCAGCACCAAGCTACATTGTACATCCAATACAACATGTATATAGAGAGCACATTGTGAGTTTCCTTTCTCCAACCCATCCTGAGTGTGAACCAAACATCTCATACCCCACAAATGGTGACCCCCGGAGTGACCCACTCACGCAGGATGGAGGAGAAACAGATCACGCTCCCAGTCTTCAAGCAACATGGAAGACTGGCTTATCCACACAGAGGCAGCTCTCATCGGCTCTACAGCTACTGTCTCTACACCGCAGGTTAGACACCCTAGAGCAGCACTACTTCTCAAAGCAGACACCAGCTCCTCTTCCTGCCCCAAGCACCACGTACTACCGACCCCAACACACCCGTCCTGCCTCAGACGCCGCCCCTGCTCCTGAGAGCGGACCCACACACCCCTCTTTTCTCCCTCAGGTACTCCCTGCTGCTGTCGTGGACCCAGCTGCTGTCACGAGCCCTAATCCACTTCTGCGGCCCCTGCTCTGCCAGGCGGTTTGGGTGGGGTGTTTGTGGTTTGGGGTTGTTGGTGTGTTTTGGGTTTTGTTTTTTGTGGTTGGGGTTTTTGGTGTTGGGGGTTTGGGGGGTTGGGGTTGGTGGGGGGGTTTTGGGGGGTTGGGTGTGGTGTGTGTGGGTGACTCGCCTACTTTGTCCCACGTAGGAGGTCGGGTCTGAACCGGACTGGTGCCGACACTCACCTGGGGGACGGCATGGTCGTTGGGGGCGACGACGTCTGCACGGCGGCTCGGGTCAACCTGTCTTGGCTGCCCCTTGGAAGTTGAGGTGAGCAGGGCAAGAACGAGGGCGTCCTCCAGGGGCGTCGTGTGAGTGTGTTGGTTCAAAAGGTCGAAGGCCTTCAATATTCCCACCTAAGGATGAGTGTGGGCAGCCTCAGCGTGCCGTTACTCGGTATGGGCGAAAACATGACCATCGGTAGGGCGTCCGTTGTGGGGGCTCCGTGGTTCTACAGAACGCGTCGTAGTGGCGCTGATGGTGGCGGACGTCGTTCGCCTTGATGACAGACAGGCGGTCGACGATAACAAGGACTTTCTGGAAAATCGGGACGCCGGTGGGGTTTCCCATACCCGCTGGCTGGGTTGTACTGGCGGGGCACACCTGGAGCATTGGGATGTGGGTCGTGCGGCCGATCTGTCGTCGTTTGGTGGCTAGCTGGTGATCGTGGCAAGGCGCGTGATGCAGCAGGGACAACTACCGAAGAGGTGTCACTGGGGGGGGTGGGGGGGGTTTTTTTGTTGGGTTTTGGTGTTGGGTGTGGTGTGTTTGGGTGTTGGTGGTGGTGTTGGGTGTTTGGTGGGGTGGGGTTTGTTTGGGGGTGGGGTGTGTTGGGTGTGTGGGGTTGTGGGGTGTGGTTGGGGTGGTGTGTGGTGTGTTGGGGTTTGGTTGGGTGGTTTTGGTGGTTTTGTGTTTGTTTGGTGTGGGGTTGGTGGGGTGGTGTTGGTGTTTGTTGTGGTTGTTTGGGGGGGTTTTGGGTTGGGTGACCAGGGCTGCTCATGATCCTTGGGGTGGTGGTGTGTTGTGTGTTTTGGGGTGGGTGGTGGGGGGGTTTGTTTGTGGGTGGGGTGGTGGGGGTGGTGGTTGGTTGTTTGGGGGGGGGGGGGGGTTGGTTTGTTTTGTTGTTTGGGTTTGTGGTGGTGGTTTTGGGTTTGGTTGGTTTGTTGTTGGTTTTTGTTGTGGTTGTCCATATTACAGA